ATACTGACCCAGAGAGTACTGTTTTTGCAGGTCCTATATGTCATACTGACCCAGAGAGTACTGTTTTTGCAGGTCCTATATGTCATACTGACTCAGAGAGTACTGTTGTTCCAGGTCCTATATGTCATACTGACTCAGAGAGTACTGTTTTTGCAGGTCCTATATGTCATACTGACTCAGAGAGTACTGTTGTTCCAGGTCCTATATGTCATACTGACCCAGAGAGTACTGTTTTTGCAGGTCCTATATGTCATACTGACCCAGAGAGTACTGTTATTGCAGGTCCTATATGTCATACTGACCCAGAGAGTACTGTTATTGCAGGTCCTATATGTCATACTGACCCAGAGAGTACTGTTATTTGTCATTGCAGGTCCTATATGTCATACTGACCCAGAGAGTACTGTTATTGCAGGTCCTATATGTCATACTGACCCAGAGAGTACTGTTATTGCACTATATTTTGACCCAGAGAGGTCCTATATGTCATACTGACCCAGAGAGTACTGTTTTGCAGGTCCTATATGTCATACTGATATGTACTGTTTTTGCAGGTCCTATATGTCATACTGACCCAGAGAGTACTGTTGTTCCCAGGTCCTATATGTCATACTGACTCAGAGAGTACTGTTTTTGCAGGTCCTATATGTCATACTGACTCAGAGTACTGTTTTGCAGGTCCTATATGTCATACTGACTCAGAGTACTGTTGTTCCAGGTCCTATATGTCATACTGACCCAGAGAGTACTGTTTTTGCAGGTCCTATATGTCATACTAACCCAGAGAGTACTGTTATTGCAGGTCCTATATGTCATACTGACCCAGAGAGTACTGTTATTGCAGGTCCTATATGTCATACTGACTCAGAGAGTACTGTTATTGCAGGTCCTATATGTCATACTGACTCAGAGAGTACTGTTGTTCCAGGTCCTATATGTCATACTGACCCAGAGAGTACTGTTTTTGCAGGTCCTATATGTCATACTAACCCAGAGAGTACTGTTTTTGCAGGTCCTATATGTCATACTGACCCAGAGAGTACTGTTTTTGCAGGTCCTATATGTCATACTGACCCAGAGAGTACTGTTATTGCAGGTCCTATATGTCATACTGACCCAGAGAGTACTGTTTTTGCAGGTCCTATATGTCATACTGACCCAGAGAGTACTGTTATTGCAGGTCCTATATGTCATACTGACCCAGAGAGTATTGTTATTGCAGGTCCTATATGTCATAGTGGCCCAGAGAGTACTGTTATTGCAGGTCCTATATGTCATACTAAACCCCAGATAGCATGGTTATTCCAGGTCCTAAACAGTCTTGTTACCCTGTGCCCCACAGAATTGCTGGCATGCTGAGTCCCAGAGAGAAATGTTACTCTAAAAGATTAATGGTATACCGGTACTCAAAGCTTCTTGCATATATCATGTGCAGTATTCATGAGCAGTTTAATGTTTCTGTGCATGCATAAATGAAGAGCAATAAGGTTTTTACTAGTTTATAATCAATGGGACAACAGTTTCTTATATCTTTTGCTATACATATTATGTTTCACATTTTAGATTAAGATCTCCGTGGGATGGATGATCAACATAATTTACCTTTGCTTAATACCAGCAATAAAACATGTAAACAGGATGAAGGAATTTGAGATTTTTCGGTTTAAGGCAGACTTAGAAATGATCACATTGTGATAAGACAGCTCAGGTAGATACATAATAAAAGGAGGGATAGCATAGTGGTTAAAGCATTAGCGTTCTGGTGGAGGGGGTGGGGTAGCCTAGTGGTCAAAGTGTTCGCTCATCACCCCAGTGACCCTGGTTCAATTCCCCACATGGGTATAATGCGTGAAGCCCATTTCTGGTGTCCCCCGCTGTGATATTGCTGAAGTATTGCGTAAAACCATCCACACGAATGTATCAGTGTTTCTCACATGTTGTGAAGTTACACTAGAATGTATTTCTTGTATGTAAACCATACACACGAATGTATCAGTGTTTGTCACGTGTTGTGAAGTTACACTAGAATGTATTTCTTGTATGTAAACCATACACACGAATGTATCAGTGTTTGTCACGTGTTGTGAAGTTACACTAGAATGTATTTCTTGTATGTAAACCATACACACGAATGTATCAGTGTTTGTCACGTGTTGTGAAGTTACACTAGAATGTATTTCTTGTATGTAAACCATACACACGAATGTATCAGTGTTTCTCACAGGTTGTGAAGTTACACTAGAATGTATTTCTTGTATGGTGAATGGACTCAAGGATGTATCTTACATATGATACTAGATTATTGGGTGAAAATACATCAACAGTGTATCTCAGGAATGATTAAAGGGAACAAACAATGGCAGATAAATGGTTGAATGGTGTTTTAGGCATCTTGCATATGAAATGGCAGGAAATGTGCCTTGGGTATTACCTTAGGTGAAATGAAGTGTATAACAGATATGATGAAGTTACACTATAAATGTTGGCAAAATATGGTGAAATGACATGTATGACTGATTTGTTGAAATTGCACTAAAAATGTGCAACAAAATATGGTGAAATGACGTACGACTGATTTGTTGAAATTGCACTAAAAATGTATGAGAAAATATGGTGAAATGTCATGTACGACTGATTTGTTGAAATTGCACAAGAAATGTATGACAAAATATGGTGAAATGACTTGTATGACTGATGTGATGAAATTGCACTAAAAATGTATGACATAATATGGTGAAATGCCTTGTATGACTGATGTGATGAAATTGCACTAAAAATATATGACAAAATATGGTAAAATGATGTGTATGACTGATTTGACTGAACTGTACTGTAAATATATGACAAAATATGGTGAAATGTTGTGTATGGCTGATTTGACTGAATTGTACTGTAAATATATGACAAAATATGGTAAAATGATGTGTATGGATGATTTGATGAAATTGTACTGTAAATATATTACAACATATGGTAAAATGACGTGTTTGACTGAATTGTACTGTAAATATATGACAAAATATGGTAAAATGGTGTGTATGACTGATTTGACTGAATTGTACTGTAAATATATGACAAAATATGGTAAAATGATGTGTATGACTGATTTGACTGAATTGTACTGTAAATATATGACAACATATGGTAAAATGATGTGTATGACTGATTTGACTAAATTGTACTGTAAATATATGACAACATATGGTGAAATGATGTGTATGACTGATTTGACTGAATTGTACTGTAAATATATGACAAAATATGGTAAAATGATGTGTATGGCTGATTTAATGAAATTGTTTTAATGACATTAGACATGCTTATATCTGTATGACAGAGATATGGTAGAGTGCATCGTGTATGGGGTAAAGTGACACTAGATGAAACCGGTTGTTGGAAATGAGCCATGTTTTTGTTATGTTTACAACTACAACAGATGATGCAGCTTATGCCCATCACCAAGGTCGTTTCAGCCACCACAGGGCTCATCCTCCATATTGTTCTTTTCAACAGCTCTGTGTGCATTTACATTACATATAGTGCTGTAGGCATGGGGCTAGGTGGCCTTGGGTTGAGTTAAAACAGTTGACAAACACAGTGGAGAGCTTCTGAAACTACATGTTTTTATGTTCTGGTGAAATCAATGACTGGATCAAGGTCTGCTTGACAGAACTGTTTGTAACATTTTAGGATACAATGAGGTATAAACCAGCAACATGCTGGTGTTTTATAGTGCTGAGTATTTTATAGTGCTGTAATGATGCATCAAACTATGGATGGATTGCAATTGTTGAGTCAATCAATGAGCAGTTAATCAATGGTAGAAACGAAAAACTATTGATGCATCGATAGTATGTGTGACTATCGATAGTTCAGTAAGTACTTTACATGGGTTCAAAAATCCCATCGCCCGATGCCCGGGACAAGTCAGTTTTCATTTCGGGCAATCAAATAATGGTATCTTACTTGTCCGTGGGCTACTAGATAATTTCCACTTATGGTTTCAAACTGCAAATAAACTTTGATTTAATTTCATATCTGCTCAAAATGTAGCTATTAAATTTTGCAATGATAATAAAGTAGAGTTATCTTTCTTTGCTATTTATCACTTTTCAATAAATAGTCCAGTAAACATTAACATCAAATACCATGTTGATTTCTTCTTTCATAATTACATCATCATAATTATGTCATAAAATCAGGGCAAGTGGAAAATTAGTCAGGACAAGTTACTTTCTTAAAGTCACTTGCTTGCCTGTGGCAAGTGGCTCTTTAAAAAAAATTGAACCCCTGAGTTTAGTAGGTTTCAATAAGTTGTGTAAGAGGCACCTATATGGACTCGGGGATCAGGCCCCGATTTCTCGAAACAAACTGAAGTTTTGACTTAAGTTCGAGTTTTTACTCAAATTTTAGAAAACACAGGAAAATGCATTTCACAGAATGAACTGAAATCGGTATTAAACTCAAACTATAGTAGACAATTGTGTTTGGTGGATAGATAACTTAAGTTGTTTGGGCTTTTTAAAAATGCAGTTGAGTTAATAATTAAGCTGTTTGAAATTGTGAAACTCAGTTTGAGGTTTGATTAAAAACTTAAGTTTGTTTCGAGAAATCAGGGCCAGACTCAGTGTCATGGTTGATTCCTTGTCATTGTACCATGATGGCATGCATTGTTTCTCATGATATGATACACTGGAATGTCTGGTCCTCTCTGGCCAATTGCGTAGATCGGTGCTCATGCTGTTGATCACTGGATTGTCTGGTCCAGTCAGGCCAATTGTGTAGATTGATGCTCATGCTGTTGATCATTGGTTTGTCTGGTCCAGACAGGCCATCTACCATATTATACAATGCCGAAAACCAACAATGCAATTAAAATCAAGAGATACACTTATCTTTCTAAGTTAGCACTGTGGTATGACTATCAGTCATCTTTAGCCCTAGAGGGAAATGGTATTGAAGACAGCTATAATTCTGATGTTGGTGTTTTGTGTTTGCAGCAAGCCAAAGCTGAACAAGAGGAGGAGTTTATTAGCAACACGCTGCTGAAGAAGATCCAGTCTCTGAAGAAGGAGAAGGAGACCCTGGCTATGAACTATGAACAGGAGGAAGAGTACCTCACTAACGATCTGTCCAGAAAACTCATGCAGGTGGGTCTCTAGTGGTGCAGGCGGTGAGGTAGCCTAGTGGATAAAGCGTTTTCGCGGGTCATGCCGAAGACCCGGGTTCGATTCCCCACATGGGTACAATGTGTGAAGCCCAATGCTGGAATATTGCTAAAAGCGGCGTGAAACTAAACTTCGCTCTATTGGTGCAGGTAGCTAAGGAGTACCTCATTAAAAGTCTGTACACAAAGCTTGTGCAGGTAGGTCATGAAGTGTGCTTGCCACCCGAGGTACACGTACAGCAGTGACTGCATGATGTGAGTGATCAGGGCTTCAGAGTGTGGCTGCATGAGCATAATGATTTTCGGTGACGTCATACAGTGACTTCATGACATTAAGGAGTGACCATGGCATTGTTTGGTGACTGCATGGCATTAAGGAGTGACCATGGCATTGTTTGGTGACTGCATGACATTAAGGAGTGACCATGGCATTGTTTGGTGACTGCATGACATTAAGGAGTGACCATGGCATTGTTTGGTGACTACATGGCAGTGACTGCATGGCATTGTTTGGTGACTGCATGACATTAAGGAGTGACCATGGCATTGTTTGGTGACTGCATGGCATTAAGGAGTGACCATGACATAGTTTGGTGACATGACATTAAGGAGTGACCATGACATTGTTTGGTGACATTCTGCATGACATTAAGGAGTGATGACCATGACATTGTTTGGTGACTGCATGACATTAAGGAGTGACCATGACATTGTTTGGTGACTGCATGACATTGACATTAATGGAGTGACCATGACATGAGCATGACCATGACATTGTTTGGTGACTGCATGACATTATGCATGACATTGTTTGGTGACTGCATGACATTAAGGAGTGACCATGACATTGTTTGGTGACTGCATGACATTAAGGAGTGACCATGACATTGTTTGGTGACTGCATGACATTAAGGAGTGACCATGACATTGTTTGGTGACTGCATGACATTAAGGAGTGATCATGACATAGTTTGGTGACTGCATGACATTAAGGACTGACCATGACATTTACGTGTCTGCATGACATTAAGGAGTGACCATGACATTGTTTGGTGACTGCATGACATTAAGGAGTGACCATGACATTGTTTGGTGACTGCATGACATTAAAGAGTGACCATGACATTGTTTGGTGACTGCATGACATTAAGGACTGACCATGACATTGTTTGGTGACTGCATGACATTAAGGACTGACCGTGACATAGTTTGGTGTCTGCATGACATTAAGGACTGACCAGGATATTAGAGAGTGACTGCATGACATTAGGCAGTGACCACTAACCTTAAGACATGACACATTGGAGTAACTGCATGACATATGGATATTGTTCCTAGGTAATATGACATGTCAGCACACTAAGTGGCCTTGATTCAAATATAGTAAATAAAGGGGAAGCATGAATATGCTTTTCACCATCAAGGTCATTGAAAGATAGAACTCTACCAAATGAGAGGTATGTTGTCTCATTTCAGGATAGTAATGATGAAGTTAGTGCTTTATGGTTATGTTACAAGGGCAAATATGATGTTTTACTTAACGTTCCCTAAATATTAGTGTTAGTTATTATCTGTATTTACTGTTGGGGTTGAGGGCTTGATCTAGTCTGTCTCACAGTCCCTGACCCACATTAATATTCCCTACTGCCTAGCCCTCCGTGCAATGCCAAAGCCCTAAATGAAGCAAGTCTAGATTTCCGCAGGTTCTGAATTTCCCATCTCACTGGGGCCCCTTTTCTATTTAAATGTTACTATCAACATTATATATATTCAGAGACTAAGCATTAGTCTAGGCTTGATCTGACTCCTTCTGGTATGCAGTAACACTTGACCTTGAACTTGACCTTGACCTTTATGTCAGACTGAAGTTACAAAGGTCAAGTCCAAGACATGCTGCTGAGGAAACAATATGTTCAGCTATATCCTGAAGGATAAGGATGCTTATCACACTGATACTCTGTCCCCACTCACTCCAAGATGTTGTTGACATGTCACCAATAATTTCTTATGAATATCTTGAAATCATGCAATTTAGATAAATGTCAATAAATTCATGTCAGTCATTTGAATCAGTGATACTGAATGGTGTAAAAAATGACAAATTGTGATATTGATTCCAAATAACATTTATCACCATCAAAGATACAGTTATGCTAATAGTCAGTGTGTTGCTGATAAACCTTGGACCTTTGTAAAATGCAATATTTTCCATCCATAGAGACGTTTTGCAGTAAAAATTTAAAAATTCATAGGAGAACATACCAAGGTTGCTCTCCTTAAATGATGTGAGTGTTATTATTCTTGATGGAAGTTATCACCACTATGTTGAGGTGACAAATTTGCATATTGTGTTATCAGTGATCCCTGTTTGCCTTCATATAAGAGGAGTTGTGCTCATTTCCTACAAATGTTAATGGGGTTTTCAAACCAAAACTTCAAATTCCATTCAGTTGGTAATATTTCTTCGCCAAATTTATTGCATTTTGTCGTCGTGATGAACATTCACTCCTAAATGTTTATCAGATCCAGGTAACCATGGTAACCAGCTATAGAGCTCCCCAGTTACAACAGCAATGAGTTTACAAATCTATTTCACATGTAGGTGTATGATCATAGTTCCAGGATTGCTTTGACCCAAATGATATGGGAAAAACAGTAAACTAACTGACAGCTCTGTGTACTGAAGTACTGCTCAGTCCAACTTGAGACCGTTCTTCAAATAACGTTATATTAGTTTTCTAAACAAATAGAATAAACTAAAGAAAAGTGATCACTGTTTTCATGTTGGCAATCAGTGATGTGATCTTTTTTCATTTTTTTTGTCCAAAGATAGTTGTTGGTAGGTGGAAAATTACAAAAAAATATAATGACTTTATATTTATTTCCTGTCCTTTATATATATTTTTAACACTCAAGTATTCCCAAAACAATTCTCATAGTTCATGCACTTCAAAACAAAATTTTGAGTTGAATTCTAAAATTGAAATTCCTAAGCATATTGCTAAAAATCACTGTCCCAATCTTTTGCTTTTTATTCTGTCTCTGCTTAGTATTTAAACAACCCTGAGAGCAATCACTCACACAAAAATATTGTGACAGCATGTGTAGTCTGTCTGTTAGGACAGATTACTGACTGATACTATTACTAACAATCTCATGAAATTGTTAATTTTTCCTTATCCTGACTCATGCTTATTGCTCACCTCATGAGTCAGGATAAGTATAAAATATCAATTTAAATCAGAAAATTACATATTTTCCCCTTATCCTGACTCATGAGGTGAGCAATAAGCATGAGTCAGGATAAGTATAAAATATCAATTTTAATCAGAAAATTACATTTTTTATGTACTTTTAGTATATGACAAAATATTATGGATGTCAACTTCTTCTTTATTTTATACACAACATTTTTGGGCTATTCTTTGCACTTTCATCAGGTGAATGCTAACTAACAGTTGTACATGTATATTTAGTAATGTATATGACAAAATATTATAGTATGTAAGAGGATACATGACTAGTAGATGAATACATAGTGATTTTGAGTATGTATTTACAAAAATTCATCAGGATAATACAACAGATTTAAAAGAATAATTGGAATGTAAAAAGATTAAGATAATGTACAGTGATCCATATAACAACTTTCAAAGTCATTGTGAATGTATATGGGTATAGAGGATACATGATGAAAGAGAATAAAGTATACAAAAGCAGATTTGGTGTTGTTACAGTGGATTAAGTGGGTAAGTGGTGGAAGCCAAGGAGTCTTATTGATGTACAAAAGGGTGGCTGATAGTCTAATGATATACAAAAGCTGGGATAAGATACAAAAGGTAGGGATGATGCTGTTACAGTGGATTAAGAGGTGATTGGTGAGGCATGAGTCTAATTAATTTCCCAGGCATTGGGTAGGTAAACCCCTTTATCTCTGTTCATCTGTGGCGCTAATCTTTTGATGCTGATAGACTCTGAAATCTTGCATCGTTGCCAATCATGGATGTTGATGTTATGATGGTTTTATGTACTGTTGAGCAAAAAACCCCAGAATAATCGCTGTGTGAGTTTTCCTGGAAACGCATGCTATGTCCTCAGGAAGTGATTGTCATATTTATTTGTTTATTGTGTTTTCTTCCACAAGGGTTGGATTGATTATGAAACTTGAAACTACCATGGGATTTGCAAACAAACTTTTGTCAAGACATTGAAGTGAATATGACCTACATATAACTAGGACTGGCGAAAAAGATCGATAATCAGAAATGATGTCATTATAACTCAGAACTGGCACGGACCAGGGGAATCCGACCATTATTAATATTAATGGTTATTGATGAAATAATTTTATAAGCTTTTTTTCTTTCTGCTAAGATATGCCACCAGTTGGTCATAGTGACTTAGATTTAACCCTTGCTGTGGGTGACGTGCGTTGTTGTTGTTGCAGTTGCGACCTTGTTTTAACATCTGTGTGCATTGTTGTTGCAGTTGAGGCAGGAGAAGATTGAGTTGGAGCAAACGCTGGAGAAGGAACAGGAATACCAGATCAACAAGCTGATGAGGAAGATTGAGAAACTGGAGGCAGACACAGTATCTAAACAGCAGACCCTAGAACAGGTCAGTAGCTTGAAGTGTCATCCAGAAATATCCAAACAGCAGACTCTAGAGCTGGTCCCTCCATCACTTCAAATAATGCTATGCCTTTGTGGGACCTGGGTTAGAATCCATCTGAAGCTCTCTGTTACTTGTGAGCATGGGCTCAGTGACTTTATTGCCTTGGTATATGTGTCATCAAACCACAACAGCCCAGTTTGTTACGCCCGAATTCATATCATTTACAGGCTGCCACAGTATTGCTGTTACTATATGGCATACCAATGTTAATAAGAGCTCCTGTATAACTGTATATACTGCATGGCTTCTCAGAACATGGGACCGCCTCCGTGGGTGTAGTGGTTAGAGCGTCCGCCCATAGATCGGAAGGTCGCGGTTCGATCCCCGACCGCGTCATACCAAAAGACGTTAAAATATGGTACTTGTTGGTCCCTGCCTGGCGCTCGGCATTAATGGGTACAACAAGGACTGGTCTGCTCGGAGTCAGTATAATGTGTCTGAGTGGGGTATTCGTGCTTCACTGCGGCATGGTATCTCAGTGGGCTAGCACTATAAAACCAGCTTAAGTCTGGGCTAGTACAAGCAGGCGCACATACACATACACACGCATGCACGTCATATGAGCGAAATATTCTCAAGGACGACGTTAAACCCACTTTCACCTCACCTCACCTCAGAATATGGTGGTATGTACTATGTTGTATCTTGTGTGATGCTTTCTCTCCCTTGTAGTTGCGTAGGGAGAAGGTGGAGTTGGAGAATGCCCTTGAACAGGAACAAGAATCATTGGTCAATCGTCTGTGGAAGAAGATGGATAAACTGGAGGCTGAGAAGCGGTCAGTTCATAGTTGTGTTTTCTGTGACCCTTTCATTTTACATTTTTCGGGGGATTAATGATAGCAATTCAACGTTGTCTTATATTTATAAACCTCCAGTGATGTCGCTCTATTGTCCCGCCAGGGTTAATGATAGCAGTTCAGCCCATTTCTGGTGTCCCCCGCCGTGATGTTGCTGGAATATTGCTAAAAGCGGCGTAAAACCAAACTCAGTCAGTCAGATAGCAGTTCAATGTTGCCTTGGCCTCGGGAAATCAGGTTGGGCTTGTCGGCCCTCCCCAATTCCCTCTGCCGTGGGCTTACTTTTTCAACAAAACCTCGGAGTCGATTTTGATCCTTTATGACCAGTATCAGTTACAATGATGTCTGACCTATGTGTGATCTTTTCATTCAACTAGTGGGGGTGGTGGGGTAGCCTAGTGGTTAAAGCGTTTGCTCGTCATGCCGAAGACCCGGGTTCGATTCCCCACAAGGGTACAATGTGTGAAGCCCATTTCTGGTGTCCCCCGCTGTGATATTGCTGGAATATTGCTAAAAAAAAGTGGCGTAAAACCATACTCACTCACTCATTCAACTATGATGTTTTGTGTGAATGGTAACAGTTCACAGTAATCATGATAATTTCATAATGTCATAATGCGTTCTTTCAACTTTTATAAATATGATGTGACCGTTTGAAAATGAATACTCAAAACTTAATGTCATGAAGTTTTCATAAGTTTGAAGGACTAAGCAGTCTTGTGAATTCAATGCAGGTTACTACAGGAAAAGTTGGACCAGCCTGTGTCGGCGCCACCGTCACCACGAGATATGAACAACGGTGACACAGCACATAACCTGATGCAGCACATTGAGAATCTCCGCGGGGAGACCAACAGACTGAAGAACCAGCTCCGGCAGGCCTTGTCAGAACGTGAGTATGCACAAGGATAGATGGCTCTCTCTTGTAAAAATGTGCGTTCATAGAAGCAAGCAAAACCTCAGTCTCATGTTAAAACTTGTCCAGTGCATCATAATTTTCTCCTTTATAACCCTTGGATATTGTTTTAACACATTTTTATGTCATGTCCAGATACAAGGTCATCCTCAAGGTTGTAGCTTGAAAAGAGTTTGTTTACTGCCAAACTGGACTTGTCGTTCTTAGGGCAGTTCATGGTACTTCTGCTATTATCTGTACTCTACCAGGCCTTTTATTGTATGTCATGTTTGCAAGTGCTGTCACCCATGTTTACAACTAGAAATAATCAAGCAGATGATTAGCTGAAATTGAGGGTAAGGTGATTAAGCCAAAGTGCATACAACTTTCTTATTGAAAGAATCTAGCACAAGGCATGTGACTTAGCTGTCAAGTTGTTTTGTACTAGATGTATATTTTGCCATGCTTGAAATTTTGTGATTACAGAGGAAAAGGCTTTAGTTTAATTGTTATGTTAGCTTGAAGCAGGGTTATTTCATATATTACAAGTAGTATAATGGGTGTGCATTTAGCCAAACTGAAGGTAGTTGTATCACACTGGAAATGAGTGTTGGAATGTAAAGATTTCTGTGACTGCTTCTGTGTTCTGAAAGTACTGTCCCTGTTCTCAATATCAAAAGGCTGTTAAATTTTTATTGTATTGCTAATCTTCACTATTTGTTGTTCTAGTAGCAATTTCTGATGACCTTTTAATTATCTTGAGATGAGCTTATTACAGATTTATGATTACTTAGCCTTTGTGTCTCTGCTTGTATAGATGGGGTGGTGGAATAGCCTAATGTTAAAGCATCACCTTTCACGCTGAAGACCTGAGTTCTATTCCCCAAATGGGTACAGTGTGTGAAGCCCATTTCTGGTGTCCCCGCCGTTGCTATTGCTGGAATATTGCTAAATGCAGTAAAACCAAAACTCACTTTGAAAATATGTATTGCTGAAGTATTGTGAATGTAAACCATACACAAATGTATCAGTGTTTGTGTGAACACTAGAATGTATTTCTTGTATGTAAAACCATCCACAGTATCAATGTATCAGTGTTTGTCACGTGTTGTGAAGATACACTAGAATGTATTTCTTGTATGTAAACCATCCACACGAATGTATCAGTGTTTGTCACGTGTTGTGAAGTTACACTAGAATGTTAAACCATCCACCTGTATGAATGTATCAGTGTTTGTCACGTGTTGTGAAGTTACACTAGAATGTATTTCTTGTATGTAAACCATCCACACGAATGTATCAGTGTTTGTCACGTGTTGTGAAGTTACACTAGAATGTATTTCTTGTATGTAAACCATCCACACGAATGTATCAGTGTTTGTCACGTGTTGTGAAGTTACACTAGAATGTATTTCTTGTATGTAAACCATCACACCACGAATGTATCAGTGTTTGTCACGTGTTGTGAAGTTACACTAGAATGTATTTCTTGTATGTAAACCATCCACATTTAATGTATCAGTGTTTGTCACGTGTTGTGAAGTTACACTAGAATGTATTTCTTGTATGTAAACCATCCACACCAATGTATCAGTGTTTGTCACTGTTGTGAAGTTACACTAGAATGTATTTCTTGTATGTAAACCATACTCAATGTATCAGTGTTTGTCTCGTGTTCTAATACTGTATGGTTTGTGTTCATGATCGGTTGTGAAGTTACACTGAAGCATGGCTCAGTATGCCCAGGAGGCCTGATGCCACATCCGCCTCTCATTGTGGCAGGTGTCTCCCTTCTAATACTGTGGCGGTTTGTGTTCAGATGAGGAGAAGATGGCTCAGCTGGAGCCCAGGAGGGAGCCACATCCGGGGGAGAACCTGCGACTGCAGCGTCGTCTTCAGCTGGAGATGGAGAGGAGGGAGAGTCTCTGCCGCCATCTGTCAGAGAGCGAGTCCAGTCTTGAGATGGATGATGAGAGGTAAGATCAAGTTCAGCTGCAGGAGCATTTGGCACTAAAGATTCTCTGGAACAGACCTGCCTAAAGTCCAGGGCAGAATAACTCGTTATTTCATGCTGTTTGTAAGAGTTCTCTTAGGAGCATTTTGTGGTTACAGTTAGTGACTTGACAGATAGAAGCATTTTGTGGTTACAGTTAGTGCCTTGACGGATAGGAGCGTTTTGTGGAGCATTTTGTGGTTACAATTAGTGACTTGACAGATTGAGCATTTTCTTGTTACAGTTAGTGACTTGTTGGATAGGAGCATTTTGTGGTTACAGTTAATGACTTGATGGATAGGAGCGTTTTGTGGAGCATTTTGTGGTTACAGTTAGTGACTTGATGGATAGGAGCATTTTGTGGAGCATTTTGTGGTTACAGTTAGTGACTTGACATTGTGAGGGTAATTTTCTTGTGTGGTCAGTGGCCCTGCCCCCTTACTTGACTTTTCTACAGGTTGCCAATATATAGCTGAAATATTGCTGATGTGGCATAAAAACGTACTTGTGCACTTTCTCGGACTTTAGAAATGATGTTCATTACATGATATTTAACCTAACATTGGACAGTATGGTTGTAATTTTTCTAAAAATTAATCTTTTTCTTCCTGTGAGTGATTTGGTTTGATTGTTTTGGTCAGATCTCTGAATAAAGGACTGTCTTGCATAGAAGTTATATTTCACCCCATGTAATTGAAGTATTTCATATTTTCAGGCACTTTAACGAGATGAGCAAACAGCATGATATGTCTGGTCACACAGTCCGTCCCCGTACAGTTTCTAGTCCAATACCCTATGCCTCCTCCAATACCACAGCGAGACCACTGTCACCTGGTAGGTATCTAAATGTGCTTAGGTCAGAGCACAATAGTGTATGTTGGCAAGCGCACATACAGACCCCTGTCACCAGGAAGGCATCAGTATCAGAGTCCAGAGGTTTTATTATCACAACAGCAGATGCATTTTGGTCTTATGTCACAATCAGTTGTAGGCATCTTCCTGTTGAGATGAAGACTGGTTGTTCAGTCGCGCTGTCGCCTTACACTGAAGAATGTCCTAAGATAAAATGTGTTGTTCCCTGCCTGGCAGTGAACACTGAGACTCGGTTGACTCGGAGTCTGTGTAATGTGTTCAAGTTGGGTATCCATGTGCAACTGTGGCATGGTATCTCAGTGGACTATCAGAGGTCCACACAAGCACAACCAGACACACACACTCACAGACAGACAGACAGACAATTGTTTATTTACGTCTCACTTCTGTCAGCATAATATTAAACACATATGTAGGAAACAAATAAGAGTACAGAACCACTCAATATGACTTATGAGACACAATAGCCGTTTCAAAATCTTATAACTTACAAGCGTATATAAGATGTAGTAAATGCATAAAAATGGTAACAATTTATGAGTATAGAAAGCATTTCCTTCTCTGTCGTATTAAAAAGCAGGTTTTGGCAAAATAGTAAGAAATATCAGTACTTTGACTAACAAAAGTCAGCATCATGGAAATAACAATATGAAAAAGTTTTTCTTTAATATCATTATATACATCACAGTGAAACAGTACATGAAACTCATCTTCGACACAATCTGTACAATTGAAACATTTCCCATCACTAACATTTAGATTTTCATACCACCTAGTTTCCATTCTTATTGGGGCTACACCGCATCTAAACTTGGCCATAGCTGAACGGTAACATCTTGGCATATTAGAAATAACATAAGGTTCAGGGCAAAAATCATCTTTAAAAAAGTCTATATTTTCTCAGCTTGTTAGAACCCTTTCAACTTTCTTCCTTATTTAACAAATATTTCCAATTTAAAATATATTCTTCCATACATTTACTTTTTACTTTTGTACAAATACATTTTTAACTTGGGCTATAGGATGGATTTAAAACATAGGACATATCAAGGGCTATAAACATTTTCCTGGAATATTGCTAAAAGCGGCGTAAAACCATACTCACTCACACACACACACACACACACACACTTTCTCTCATCTCTCTCATACTCTCTGTCTCTCTCTGTCTCTCACACACTCACACACACACACACACACACACACACACACACACACACACACACACACACACACACACACTGCATGTACATCTATGAGTGAAATGATCTTGAATGTGGTGTTCAACCCAATGACAAGTCACATTGGTTGTCCGTTACAGTGTTTGCAGAAACTGACCATTGTTTGCTATGAGTACTGTTTGCTGGCTGGATGTGCTTCATCTTGCTTGCATGATATGTCAACCATCACTGATGTCCCTGAACCAGGCACCGACAACACCTAATCCATACTTCAGTGTGCAGCATCTACAGCCCCAGCCTTGCTTTGCCTCTGTCACAAATGTTTCTTAAGCGGGCAGGCTTTGATCATCATGTTGCCTTGTGATTTTGAAAGTAATGTGCAACCATCATTCTTGATTGTCTGACCTTTATCAGTAGATATGCATAAATAATTTTGAAAATGTTAACCATTACTAAACAGTGGGTATTCTGTGGGTACCCGTCGCTTACAGTAAGAGTCAACGGGGACTGTGTGTCTCGGTGTCAAGGCCTGGTGATTGTGTACTGACCGGTATTGGTCATGGTATCAACTACCTGCCTGATCCAGACTCAATTATTCAGGCTGACTGAATGTAGCTGTAATATTGCTCCTAACAAAATTCTCAAAAATTATTTACACCTTTCTCCTTTTGATATTTCTTAGAATGGATGACCCTTTTTTTATATCTTACACCTCTATACCTTATATACTGACAATTTTTGTAAAAAAGTCTGAATTCGTAGACTTATGCACTGGAAAGGATAGATAATCAAGCTTGAGTCACTACTTCTCCTCCTCTTCTTCCTCCTCCTGACCCTTCTCCTTCTTCTTCCTCCTCCTGACCCTTCTCCCCTTCCCTGTCTCCTGATCCTCCTCCTCCTCCACACCTTGTCCTCTTCTCAGTTCTCCCCTCTCCTAAGCCACCACCAACCCCTCATCCTCTTTGATTTCTGCTCCTTACCTTCTAACATCTTCCTCACATGCTTCTTCCCTCCTCTTACACATGCTCATCTCTTCCTCCACCTCCTCTCTCTCCTTCGCATTTTCACTAACTGCTATCCTCCTAATGCATCTTGACCTACTCCTCTCCTCCTTTGACCCTGTCCTTCATCCACCTTTTCTTCTCCATTCCATCCCCTTCTCCTTGCCCACTCTCATCCCCATCTTCTCCCCATCTTCTCCCTTCCTCTTCTAGCCCCTCTCAGCCCCCTCTTCTAGCCCTCCTCCCCTTCTCCTTGCCCATCTCATCTCCCTCCTCCTCCTCTTCCTTCCTCTGCCCACTCTCTCATCCCCTCTTCTCCCCCTCCTCCTCTTCTTCTTCCTCTCTTCTAGCCCACTCTCATCCCCCCTCGTCTTCTCCCTCCCTATCCTTCTCCTCCTTGCCCACTCTCATCCCCATCTTCTCCCCTCCTCTTCTTCCTTCCTCTCTCTAGCCCACTCTCTCCCCTCATCTTCTCCTCCTTATCCCCTTCTCCTTGCCCACTCTCATCCCCATCTTCTCCCTCCTCCTCTTTCCTTCTTCCTCCTCTTCTAGCCCTCTCTCCCCTCATCTTCTCCCTTCTCCTTGCCTTCTCATCCCCATCTTCTCCCTCCTCCTCTTCTCCTCTTCTAGCCCACTCTCATCCCCCCATCTTCTCCTTCTCCTTGCCCTCTCATCCCCATCTTCTCCCTCCTCCTCTTCCTTCCTCTTCTAGCCCACTCTCATCCCCTCATCTTCCCTCCCTCATCCTCCTCCTCCTCTCCCCTCTTCTCATCCTCTTCTCTTCCTTGCCCCTCTCTCCTCTTCCCTTCCCTCTTCTAGCCCACTCTCATCCCCTCATCTTCTCCCTCCTCCCCTTCTCCTTGCCCACTCTCATCCTTGTCTTTTCCCTCCTCCTCTTCCTTCCTCTTTAGCCCACTCTTATCCCCTCCCTCCCTCCTCCCATTTTCTAACAACCTCTCATCCCTCTCTTATTCCCCCTTCTCATATCCCATCAGTCATACACCTCTGCCTCTTCCTCCTCAACCATCTCTTCCTCCTCCTTCCATATTTGTCGGTGTGCTCACTCATTGACCCATCATCACACATTGTGTTGTTCTGCTGCCAGGTTTGACGTTCGTAGCTAAAAGTCCCCCAAGTCCGATGAGACGCAGTTTGCCGGGTCAGCCTTTCCACCCTCCCTCACACCCACCTGGCCACGCCCCTGGTCATCAGTCAGGCCAACACACTGGGTCGGTGGCAGCGGCACCTGCGACGGCCCCACCAGCGTTCCTCCCTGGCACATCACCACCAGTGTTCAGCAGCATGCCTATGGTTAATCCCAACATCCATGTGAGTTTCCGTGCGTCATCATTGTCAGCTCCATCGTGGCATTGTTTAGTACTGTGGCATGCATCTCTCTTATTTGCTGCTTTAATTTCCTCCGTAAATATCCGCAGGTACAACATCCAGCTTTGCTGCTGTGACGGAATAAGTCTTTTGTAAATTAGATATTGTACTCAACATGATTAAAACCGGGGTTTTGCAGGGTCAGATTTGAGGACATTTCACCAAGTGGGACTTTCCATGACACCAGATTATACTGTTTCATATTTGACCCGGGGTGGTGGTGTAGCCTAGTGGTTAAAGCTTTCGCTCGACACGCCAAAGACCCGGGTTCGATTCCCCACATGGGTACAATGTGTGAAGCCCATTTCAGATGTCCCCTGCTGTGCTATTGCTGGAATATTGCTAAATGCAGCGTAAAACCAAAACTCACTTTGAAAATATGTATTTATATATCAACCACAATGTTTGGAGAAATCATTCAAATCTGTTTATTCTGGTGGTAAAATCAACAAATTTTCGTGATTCCTTTGTTTTAGAAACTATGCAGATACATTATCTCGGCCTAGGGCTGGCTATCAATATCAGTTATAGAGATCGATAATCATTGACAAAATATTGATTGATTATCGAAAAAAATCAGAGAATTAACTTTGAGCAAATTCTTTTAAAAAGTCTGAAAGGAATAAATATATTTCACATTAATATCGGTGACAAAACAGTGTCCTGAACAGAATTTAGGAGCAGCCCATGAATACAAACCTACCCTAGTGTATTGTATGAGTAAATTAGATCTTAGATTAGCACAAAAGTTTATATTATCGATGACACAATTGTGACACAATATATCGCTAAACATTAATACATATCCTAGGTGGGGCGGTGGCCTGGTGGTTAAAAGTGTTCGCTCGTCATGCCAAAGGCCCAGGTTCGATTCCCCACATGGGTACAATGTGTGAAGCCCATTTCTGGTGTCCCCCGCCGTGATATTACTGGAATATTGCTAAAAGCGGCGTAAAACTAAACGATATGTACATTAGCTTCAGATATTGCCAGCATGTACTTGTTGGTATGACAGGGGAGACAACTCTATCATCCCCACATTATCATATATCCCAGTGTTTAGGACACCAGTTACATTGTGTGGTAGCAGCTGACAAAATAACTGATAAAACATTACACTTGCTAAAATGATAACTTAGATACAAATTTGTTATTTTGTTTTAACTGGGGCTCATCAGTTTGTGTGCAGAGTTGCATCCCTTGGGTATGCCAGAAAGAGATGATTGTTGATTGAGATCCTGGTTCACCGTGATAATGTGTCTGGGGTTGTCAGCACCATATGTGTGTTCATGGCTTCTACACCTTGGGAGTTTGAATCCCAGATTTTCCCTGATCGTAATTGTTGGTTTGTCATCAGAACACCAAACCACAGTGGTAGGCCTACCAGAACCACAGTGGTAGGCCTACAAGAACCACAGTGGTAGGCCTACATGAACCACAGTGGTAGGCCTACATGAACCACAGTGGTAGGCCTACATGAACCACAGTGGTAGGCCTACATGAACCACAGTGGTAGGCCTACATGAACCACAGTGGTAGGCCTACATGAACCACAGTGGTAGGCCTACCAGAACCACAGTGGTAGGCCTACATGAACCACAGTGGTATTCCTACAAGAACCACAGTGGTAGGCCTACAAGAACCACAGTGGTAGGCCTACAAACTGCATCACTTCAAGCTTGAGTATCCTTGTTATACAGAAGTGTTGTTAACAGCAGAGCTTGAGATTTGCTATTTACACCCACTATATCTCGCTAGTATTATTTTGTCATGTATGTTACTGTTGTGTTTATATACCACATCTTGCACATGAACGAATACAAATTCACCTTAAACAGCAGCTCAAGCAGAATTATAAAAAAATATTAAAATAAAGAAATATAATACCCAAAAGACTGGACCAAAATGAGTAAGTATATTGAATACGCAAACAAAACCATCAAATACACAATGTTTATGACATCATGTGAGTTCAAACTAAGATTCTAAGACGATTATTTGGTGCCCATCTTAAAAGCAGTGTTAGACCCAATACTGATGTCTCTGTCATCATTTTCAGAAACCCAGACCCAGCCCAGAAAAATTTGCAAAACCAAGAGCATTGCCGAGCGAGAAGAGCGACCAGACATGATAGTAAGCATGGCGGTCAACAAGCGATTCCACCGATCAAACAAGCCAAACCCTTATCCAATCAACTGAGAGAGTGTTGTCTTGCGTTCTGAAGGTGCTACCTTGCCTTGAATGTTGTTGGTCGGTGATGGAGGTGGACTGACCGCTGCCAATTTTCTTGTTATAGCTGTCAACTATGAAGTTGGAGGCTTGCTGTGGATCTCTATCAAGGCTTTGTGCCAAGTTATCAAAGCTTAGCGGAATGTTTTCTCAATCCCCTGTTGTTGAAAATGATTGAGATTTAGGTTTTGTTTTTAAAACATTAGAAAACGATGGAACAGAAAATCAGTATTTTCCCTTTCAAAAACAAATACAAGGAAACATTACAGAATTCTTTTCGCATTTAGATTTCAGTTGTATGTTGCGATTTCATTTCAAATATGTTGCGATTCCGAAAATTTCTCCTATTTCTTTGATCATTGATGGTCGAGAGAAACAAACTTGTTATTTTTGTGCAGTGTTATTTTCCTACCCCATGTACACGATTACCATCTTGTTCATCTTGATCTTGTGATATAGAATGATGTGGGAGTTTGGGTTTTGTGTTCTCAGTCTTTATTCTAATGGATACAACGTTCCATATATGTATGGGCAGATCTTGTTAAGCGTACATATTTTGTATTTTGAACAATCCTATCATCCCTTCTGCCATTCTATCAGCCTTTGAAAATCCACAAATGCATAAAGTTGAGTTGAGCCTACATTTCCTATGTTGTCGGTGTTATGTGAGGCTTCGTGTATTTATTATGGTAGCTCCACTGTTATATGTGACGATCACATATCAAGCATTGTTGATTGTTTTCAGATGTAATGTATTTGCTATGGTGCCTCGCCATCAGACTTTGTCAAGGCACAGGAAGTCAAAGAAAACCATGTATATACAAACACAGATATATCTATGTTGTTCGTTCAGACATCATCTTAGAGAAGTGCCTCATTTTTAAGTGCCCCTGGTCAGTCAGGGGCAGAATAGCTTTTCCCCCGTACTTATCATAAAATGTCCTTCATACTTGTCATAAAAGTGGAGATTTGTTGGCCACAGTGGTCGGTGGAACTTGATGGACCATTTATTGGTGACAACTTTCCTCTGCCACCTTGTTAATTGAAGCTTGATGTTTGCAATGGTTTGCCTGGTCTGAAACTGGCTGATTGTACGTGGCCAGGTTTGATGCTTAGACAGGTTTGCTTGGTCCCAGACCAAGGATCCTTTGTTGGCTGAAGTGATACAGTTCAATATTTCTGACATGGAAAACCTTCATTTTAATGTGTGATTTCAAGATAAAAGTATTTTTCCTTTTCATAATGCAGTGTTGATATCCAATGGTTTAGTGTTATGTTTTGTAAAAATGTGAAAAAAAACATTACATTTAATTCTGTTTTACCTATTTTGTGTACAATTTTACATGATTCTTAGTTATGATTCTATGTGATTAATTTGGTAAAGACAGATGTGACCTGAGAATATATTTGATGATCTTTAGTTTTCCATTGGATTGTAACGGTATAATAGTGTATTAAGATTAAGTGTGTTATATATTTGATGTTAAGAGTCCAAGATCACAACTTTCTTGGTTTGTTTCCAAAGAATTTTTACACTTCATACAAATGGCCAGGAACCAGTTGTTGGGAAGGGGAGATAAGTGTGGGTGATACTCACGAACATTGTGAAATGCTGATGTTATCAGTGTTCATACAGGGCTTGTAATGCAGAGCAAAATAGCTTCAAGGTATATACTGTCACTTCCAGGGTCCCATTTCAGAAAGCTATCGTAGTGCTACGACTGTCGTAAGCCTATGCTACAGTATAGGAGGTCTGACAGTCTTAGTGCTACGATAGCTTTGTGAAACGGGGCCCAGGTTCTTTTATACACTGTTAAGACCTCGGTAGTGACAATCTGTACCTTGATGCAAGTTTTTTCCATGTTGACCCTGTGATTGTATACACAATGTTGTTTTGTCATGCTAAGGCTTTTTGGTCGATGGATCCATCGACATGATAAATAGCTGTATTAATATATAACTGAAATGAGGTTTCCGATATTTTTGACACCACTGACTCAAATGGTACGAAGAAAAGGGGAAAAATGTATGCAAAATTGCACTCACATGAGTTTGTTTTGAAAAAAAGATTCTTTGCAAACTGCAAAATACATAATGAAATGTTTAAGTCAGAGGGAGGAGAGAAAATGACAACATTCTTGTACCTTGGGACAATGTTTTTTTCGACAACTGACATTCCAAGAACAAAACAAAATTCCATAAAGCCATTTCAACAAATTAATTGACTTTAGATGTAGGTTTGGAAATCAGTGTTCATAGGAATCTCATGACTGAGCATGTGTTTTGGTGAAAGATGAATATGATTTGTATTGAATTTAACGCTTTGGGTTGTAGGTACATCTGTAATGTATGGCCTAGTTCTTTCTTTATCAGTATGGGAAGAGGTGTGTCCTGACGGTAGGGAGAAATACATCCATTGTACCACTGATCTTGCAGCTTTCCTCATCAGACTAATGAGTTATGTATAAAGAGAGTTCCTGAGAAATGTTGTCGTGTTGAAAGACACAGTCATCTCAAAACTTGCATTCCTATGAAACAGTGTTTAAGTATTGTGTTTGCTACTAATCCTGACACCAGAGTGGCTTAGGTTGTAGTTAGTAAGGCATAGTTACCTCCCTTAGATGCTAGGGCTGCTGCAAGGCGACAGCTGTAAATATTACTGATACAGAGAGTGCCTGGTTGGAGAATATGCCTTGATGCCTAGTAGTGCTCAATGGCTTGCATAACAAGGGGAAAGGGGATAGTTAGTACTGAATACTTCTTGAAGGTTGTATGTTGACGCTGTAATAGCCACAAGGTTGGATACATGTCTTCATGTTAGCTGGAGCTGAATACGTCTTGCAGGGTGTATGTACCAGCTGTTTAAGCCTACAAGGTTGGGGACATGTCATCATGTTGAATCCTTCTTGTAGGGTGTATGTACCAGCTATTTAAGCCTACAAGGTTGGGGACATGTCATCATGTTGAATCCTTCTTGTAGGGTGTATGTACCAGCTATTTAAGTCTACAAGGTTGGGGACATGTCATCATGTTGAATCCTTCTTGTAGGGTGTATGTACCAGCTATTTAAGCCTACAAGGTTGGGGACATGTCATCATGTTGAATCCTTCTTGTAGGGTGTATGTACCAGCTATTTAAGCCTACAAGGTTAGGGACATGTCATCATGTTGAATCCTTCTTGTAGGGTGTATGTACCAGCTATTTAAGTCTACAAGGTTAGGGACATGTCATCATGTTGAATCCTTCTTGTAGGTGTGTATGTACCAGCTATTTAAGTCTACAAGGTTGGGGACATGTCATCATGTTGAATCCTTCTTGTAGGGTGTATGTACCAGCTATTTAAGCCTACAAGGTTAGGGACATGTCATCATGTTGAATCCTTCTTGTAGGGTGTATGTACCAGCTATTTAAGCCTACAAGGTTAGGGACATGTCATCATGTTGAATCCTTCTTGTAGGATGTATGTACCAGCTATTATTTAAGTCTACAAGGTTAGGGACATGTCATCATGTTGAATCCTTCTTGTAGGGTGTATGTACCAGCTATTTAAGTCTACAAGGTTAGGGACATGTCATCATGTTGAATCCTTCTTGTAGGGTGTATGTACCAGCTATTTAAGTCTACAAGGTTAGGGACATGTCATCATGTTGAATCCTTCTTGTAGGGTGTATGTACCAGCTATTTAAGCCTACAAGGTTAGGGACATGTCATCATGTTGAATCCTTCTTGTAGGGTGTATGTACCAGCTATTTAAGTCTACAAGGTTGGGGACATGTCATCATGTTGAATCCTTCTTGTAGGGTGTATGTACCAGCTATTTAAGTCTACAAGGTTGGGGACATGTCATCATGTTGAATCCTTCTTGTAGGGTGTATGTACCAGCTATTTAAGTCTACAAGGTTAGGGACATGTCATCATGTTGAATCCTTCTTGTAGGGTGTATGTACCAGCTATTTAAGTCTACAAGGTTGGGGACATGTCATCATGTTGAATCCTTCTTGTAGGGTGTATGTACCAGCTATTTAAGTCTACAAGGTTGGGGACATGTCATCATGTTGAATCCTTCTTGTAGGGTGTATGTACCAGCTATTTAAGTCTACAAGGTTAGGGACATGTCATCATGTTGAATCCTTCTTGTAGGGTGTATGTACCAGCTATTTAAGTCTACAAGGTTAGGGACATGTCATCATGTTGAATCCTTCTTGTAGGGTGTATGTACCAGCTATTTAAGCCTACAAGGTTTGGGGACATGTCATCATGTTGAATCCCTTCTTGTAGGGTGTATGTACCAGCTATTTAAGTCTACAAGGTTGGGGACATGTCATCATGTTGAATCCTTCTTGTAGGGTGTATGTACCAGCTATTTAAGTCTACAAGGTTAGGGACATGTCATCATGTTGAATCCTTCTTGTAGGATGTATGTACCAGGCCTACAAGGTTGGGGACATGTCATCATGTTGAATCCTTCTTGTAGAGGTGTATGTACCAGCTATTTAAGTCTACAAGGTTAGGGACATGTCATCATGTTGAATCCTTCTTGTAGGGTGTATGTACCAGCTATTTAAGCCTACAAGGTTAGGGACATGTCATCATGTTGAATCCTTCTTGTAGGGTGTATGTACCAGCTGTTTAAGTCTACAAGGTTGGGGACATGTCATCATGTTGAATCCTTCTTGTAGGGTGTATGTACCAGCTATTTAAGTCTACAAGGTTAGGGACATGTCATCATGTTGAATCCTTCTTGTAGGGTGTATGTACCAGCTGTTTTAGCCTTCAAGTTTGGGGACATGTCATATTTTGAGAGGCAGGTTTGCAACAGAGATTTGGGGAGGGTCACCAAAAACCCTCACTTCAGGTCAGTCTGTGTTTTGTACATTCTCAGTCACACATTGATATGCTCACAATTGGAATTCCGTCTGTTTTGCAGTACCAACCAGCCACAACTGATGAGCTGCCGTCTTCTAAGTTATTTGCAATTACAATTCTAAATGAACAGTTCCCAATGGATTGTTTTAAGGCCAGATCAAATTTATTTTTTGTTATGGAAAAGTCTGCCAACTTGACCATATTTTACAAAAATAAACTTGTTTAATTTATATGATTTTCATTAAATAACATTTTGTCACCTGCATACTGGCATTTTGTAATGTTTGCAAAATATTAATGTGAATTATAATTGGTTTGGCCTGTAATGAAAATAACTAATATTGACTCACAATTGTTTTCTCATTTGAGTGGTGTCCATTGCTGCTCCATATTGAAGTGCTGCTACGGCAACTGCAACCAGTACGGTACACCAATCCTAATCATGAGAACCTGCATAATTTCTTTTGTCTTTCATTTCAATAATTATGTCGGCTTATGTTTATGTTCTTGTCCCTTGCGATTGATTTGTTTGTGACCAGTGTTGGTGTGGGACATTACAGTATACTTTGTATTCATTCAGCACATTCAGCTAGTTGTTCGGTCTTCAGTAACCCATGCTTGTCGCAATAGGCGACAAAAGGGATCGGGTGGTCAGGCTTGCTGACTGGGTTAACACATCTATCCCAATTGCGTAGATTGATGCTCATGCTGTTGATCATAGGATTGTCTGGTCCAGACTTTATTATTTACAGACCGCTGCCATATAGCTGGAATATTGCTGAGTGCGGCATAAAACTAAACTCACTCACTCACTCAGTTGTTCACTGTATGTGGATATGTCTATAGTTACTCATTGGCCTTGTACACAACCAGGAAACCACAGTTTATCACTGAAGTCATGTGTTAATTCTGATCTCTTGTCTCCAAGGTGTCTATATGTGCATAAGCATTCCTCTATCATCTTTCTAAATGATTGTCAGATTATTTTTCTAATGTATGGCATGGCAGATTAAATATAGAAATATGAAACAATCATTTCCTCGACCTTTTTTAAATTGTAGCAGATGTCAGGTCATTTTGTTATAATAGTATAGGTAAGTGAATTAAAATTGTCACCTTCTGTAGCAGTGTTGGGAAGAATCTGCTCCCCCCAACCCCCAAGGTCTCATTGAACAATGTCCTCTAATAAAGCCATTTTATGCTGTTCCACTTTTGTTAGGGATATTGTGAACTTTCAGTGATACACAAAACTGATTGTCACAATGTGTCAAGTGTATATTTAAATCATATTGCATCTGTTTATCCCTGTAAAATATGAGTAGTATATCTAAGATATTCGTGTCTGGAATGATGAACAGAAAGGTACATTTCTTACAAGATTTTTCCCTTTTTTAATTACATTTATTGTTGTAAAGCTGGCTTAATTGTTTGACCAACTGATACAGTCTAAAGATAAGATATTAAGATGACCCAAAGTTAAATGACCCTGGTGAACTGTCCCAGTACATGGATGTATGGTTATGGAGAGTGATGCTGTCATATCAGTATGCTGTGATAGACATTGTTAATTGGCAAATTGGAGCCTCTCTGTGATGTGTAAGTGTGGTTTGGAGTTTCAAGAGCTCCCTGGAACCTTGACTTTTATAAATTGACATGATTTCAGACTTAATGTGTACATTGTCAGTAAATTGTGTCGTGACTTTTGTTCAGAGCAGCATGGGAAAAGATGTGGACAGTGATACTGTAGATGCATTAATAAACTCCACCACTCATGGTATTAACTCGACTTTCAGGGCATTACCAGGTCTAAAATAACCGTATCAACTATGTGTTATATTTTTCGTAATCTTTAGCAGTGTTAACATAGGAGTTTGTTCTCCGTTGCCATTACCGATAAACGGAAATATTTGTTTCTGGTATAAGCACTGGGTTTCTTCATTTTACGACAGTTAATCTGCCAGAATATACATAAACAACACTTATATTAAAAATGTCATTTATCATTTTTTGAGTAGTGTATGATATCTTGTATAACATATTTTTGATATTATAAGATGTTATGCAGAATGTCATGAGGTTATGATATATTAATACAGATATCATGTATTGCAGAAGCTTTATATGAATATAGGATTTATGGTGATCCTGTCTCCACAAATTTATCAATTTCAACACTAAATTTATTATTCACTGCCACAGTAACGTTTGTGTTTTGTAATATTAACATGGTTACATTACATGGTTACATCACATGGTTACATTACATGGTTACATGTTACATTACATGGTTACATTACAGAGAAAAAGGCAGAATATTCTGTCAACATTTGACGCATCAGCCTAGTTCATAATCAGTATTAGTGTTTATGATGGGAAAGTGTTGTCTATATATATACAGAATAACTAATTTGGTAGTAATGGATGCATCAATGTGATGTTTTAGTCGATATATCAGTGCTGAACTTTATACAATGACATCCCTGTATATTTCTTTCCAAAATAGGGGCTGTGGGGTAGCCTAGTGGTTAAGACGTTGGCTCGTCACGCCGAAAGACCCGGGTTCGAATCCCCACATGGGTACAATGTGTGAAGCTCATTTCTGGTGTCCCCCGCCGTGATGTTACTGGAATATTGCTAAAAGCGGCGTAAAACCAAACTCAGTCAGTCAGTCTTTCCAAAATAGGACTGATTTGGCCAAAGTTTCACAAAGTTTGACGCAGTGATGAATGCTGTTTTCTCTTCTTTCCAAACCACATTCAGAATGGAGAAAGCTTTGTTCTTTGAACATTTCATCATTTTCAGCAAAATTTGCAGCTCAAACCAGCAAGTGGTAATAGGGACACACAATGCGTATTCTTTCTCTCTGTTAACTGTAGTCTCACTGTTGCTTTTGATCATTTGAAATACAGTAAAACCTTAGAACCTTAGAAACATCAAGATGAATAATATTTGGATTAGGGATCATTGATCCTAAGTAAGGTTGTTGTATACAGGCATTACCAAAAGAGCAACCAGAATGCCAGGTTTCCGGATTGATGAGGTCCAGATGTAAAAGGTTTTACTGTATCATCAAGGAATTATGTATATAGCAGCAAGCATTGATTTTTTTCTTGAGTTTTGGGGTCTAAGCATTGCGCTGTGCAGAGTAGCGTACATTAGAAACAAGGATCTGCCACTTGTTCAAAGAGTCAGACCATTAGTATGCTTCTGTTTTGACAATGAGTTCACACATTTTTTAACTCTATTACTCTAGATTTCTTGTGTCCTCTGCCATGATATTGCTGGACTATTGCTAAAAGCGGCATAAAACTAAACTCACTCACTCACTATTACTCTGGGGTTTCCACCCACATGAAACCAGCACACTGCTATTTTATTTTGTTTCTGAGGCCATATCTCATTATGTCCCATGTTTGATGTGACAGATTTACAAACCAAAGATACAACCACCAGGTGATGACTTGTTTCATGTACTTGTTAGTAGAGCGGAATTACCTGAGTTGTACACCGTCCGACAACTAGATATTGTACTCAACATGATTAAAACCGGGGTTTTGCAGAGTCAGATTTGAGGACATTTGATTATACTGTTTCATATTTGACCCGGGGCGGTGGGGTAGCCTAGTGGTTAAAGCGTTCACTCGTCACACCAAAGACCCGGGTTCGATTCCCCACATGGGTACAATGTGTGAAGCCCATTTCTGGTGTCCCCTGCCTTGATATTGCTGGAATATTGCTAAAAGCGGCGTAAAACCATACTCACTCACTCATATTTGACCCACTTAATTTGCTGTTTCAGTAGTGTTCACCAATATATGTGTAGGACATTGTATGACAAGGGTAGCCTAGTGGTTAAAGTGGTTGCTCGTCTCACTAATGACCCAGGTTTGATTCCCACATTGGTATGATAAGTAAGGCCCATTTCTGGTGTTCCCTATAGGATATTGCTGAATATCACTGAAAGGGGCATAAAACTGTTATCAGTCACTCACACCCCATACAAGAAATAGAGAGATGACATGGAAAGGAATTGCATATTGATGATTATGGTACCACCTAGGTTATGATGAACTCCAGGGAGGAACCAACAATCTGATAGTGTTTGGGACTTGGAACTTTTTATGTTGAGTATAATACCACAGTAGCCAGAGTGTGCAGTTAATTCATCGTTTCATGTATGTTTAACTATGGAAGGATTAAAGTCAGTATACTCATGTGATAAAACTATGTAGTTTGATATCAACATTACTTTCTGACAAAGGGAAACAGGTAAATATTTCAGTCATACCACAACATAATTGGTAAATTTCATCCATGTATGTTTTTTCTTTGGGTAATTATAACAAAATTATGTGAAAAAGGATGAAATACTGGTTTGGGTTTCAAATATTATATGACGGATTTCCTATCATAATATGCCCAGAAAATATCTAACATGGTAACTCTGGGTTGTCTGTCATTTTAGTTTTCAGGTTCTTCTTCAGGAAATATTGACTTTATTCCCTCCTAATCTGCAGTATATTTCATACCCACACAGATAAAGATGTTCACAGTTCTTGTACTTGGTATGGAGTTATACTGGATATTACCACATGTAGTTACAGAACCTGTCTGATTGGTGCTGATTGTATCATAGTTATATCCAAAGTTATGACAATGTAAACAGTATTGTAATGCATCTTAGTGTTTCATTTGTGCTGATGTCAACAGTTATTTGTGTTACAATATTATACTCAAGTGAATAATGTTTCTTTTCCTCAGTATCAGTTTTAGTGGATATCATTTTTGTGAGTGATTTTTTGATAACCAAAATAATTGCTAGTTTTGATTATGAAAAACTCTCTTGATTATAAGTTTAAGAACATTCTAATTATGATCATATTTGTTTGATTGTCAGGTTTTAGTGGTTAGGATAATTGATTTAAATTTTAAGAATGCTTTACATATGTTTCAGTTGGTTAAAACATATACTTGGGTTATTTGCTCCCATGTAGGTGGTTAGATTTAGTTGCTTTTATTGAGAAGAAAGAATGTCCAAACAACTAAATCAGGTGTGGGAAATTCAACTATTGTGTATGTGATTCGGTGTCACTTGTCAAACACGTTTGACATTTGGCAGTATGTGTAAATTATTGCAATGTGCTTATATTGAATGTAAATAATTGTACATTAATGGAGCCAATAAATTTTAATACACACTTTGTGTTTGTGTGGTAGTCATCATCATATCATGGACTTACTGTCGTGTAAGTATGTTTTACGTAATAGGGGGAACATGCGACTTGAAACAGCTGTGGAATAATGTGATGTGTCATATGCCATGCAGCAATAGTTTGTATTATTTTTTAGTAATTATAAAAATTACAAAATATTTTCAATCTTACTACATACACACATCGGTCAAATTTTCTAAACATACACATTACATTACTCACCATATATACGGAGGGAACAAATAAGGGATCACATGAAAGCACAAGTGTTCCTTTATATTTTTCCAGGTTTCTTCCCCAGCTGTGTGATACAAAGCTTGTGAAGAAACATGGAATAATGTCATGCAGCAACTCAAAGGGTGGGGTTGCATCCCTTAGTTGTGTAAGGACCTGGTGATCATTACTTTTAATTTCAGACTGCCTTCATCACGACATCATACATGTGCTCATGGGCTGCACCAAAGTTGGAAATGTCGAAACCCTAAGTCACATTGGACATTCTTACCCACACTATGATAACATGTTATGATATCACTAAAATCCTCTAATAAGTAGTTGTGGTAAGTGGTCATACCTTAATATCATATACCTTATCTGTATAATGTATCAATAATGTATCACAATAGTTTCCATTATTTTTTATCAATTATAAAAGATAACACAATATTTTTCAATCTTACAATGTACACACATCAGTCAAAGTTTCTAAACATAAAAAATGACTAATCTCCGTATATTATGAAAATAGATATTCTGGCAGCAATCCTGGTTCACTCGCCTGGGCTGTTTGTTGAGGATGGGTTACATAAAGCCTTTCCATAATCAGAGGAAATTTGCTAAGAAAAGAGTCCATTGTATGGTTCTCATGAATGTGTTTATGAATCACTATCAGTTGATTATGATGGTGTTAATCACTATCAATTGAAGATGATACCAGGTGTTAATCAACCTCACAGTTCATAGTTCATATTACAATCATTGCTCCTGTCATCAGTCCAAAGTCTCTGACCTTCAGCATGTCAATATTCATACCATGATTAAGTGTTTTCAGTATAGGTGCAGCAATACAGAATGGCACATATTCATTATGAAGTGACCTTCAGTTAAAAATGTTTGGGATGTTGCAATAATAATTTCTCATTCTTTGATTGCTGGCTGGAATGCCATGTGTGAAGTTATGCTTGGTGTAGGTCTAGTATTACAATTTGTTTGGTTCTATAATCTCACGAACATAGATCATTTCACTGACATAATAAATGACATACCACTGACATAATAAAGAAAGGTTTTCCAGTATTGGTCAAGATGACATATGGGGCGCAGGTAGGCAAGAGGTCCCATTCACTGCAATATATTTTGCAGTCTTGCTTTTTTTCCCAAAAATGGATTCTGTGCTCTATTCGGACAAAGGACACTGTCAAACAGACAAATGTGATATGGTCAAACTCATCATCTGGATTAACATACTTTCAAGGTTCGATTCAGAATTTAGTGCATTTTGTAAGAAGGAAAGTTTCTTTGTTGCAACAGTTATATTGCATAGTTCCTTGGACTAGATTATTACCTGTTTAGATCATTACATACATATAATTATGTTTCAGGAAGTGTAAATGTGCACAACTTGTTTCACTTGGGCTGTCCTAAGTTGGTTAGCTGTGATATACAGAAATATATTAAAAAACAGTGCTAAAACTAACCTACACAATCCCACTTGTTCACTTAACATCAATATCAGTGTACATAGAAACACCCAACATTAATCAGACTCTAGGAGCCGCAATGAACTTAAATGGCCGAGGGGCAAACGTTACTCCTGGCACAGCCTCCATAGTTGGTGGTTGCTCATCTCCAGGTTGTTGGAACTCGAAACGTTGAATTAATGCTGTGATGAAAAGGAAGAGCTCCATCCTTGCCAGGGATTCCCCAAGACAAACCCGCTTGCCCAGAAAGAAGGGAATGAACTCATCGGGCTTCACAAACTTTCCATTGTCAGCCAAAAATCTCTCTGGCTGAAACCTCTCTGGATCTTTGAAGATTTCAGGGTCCATGAGCACAGAGTCAATGTTGGGCACTATAGTTACTCCTTTACGGAATGTGTAGCCCCTGAATTGTATGTCATACGGGACACTGTGCCAGACTGACACGGGGATGATGTTGGCCACTCTCTGTACCTCAGCTATAGTTGCTTCAACATAGGGTAACTTCAGCTTGTCCGACATCTCTGGCAACCTCTCTTGACCGATGTTCGTCTTAATTTCTTGGAAACATTTTTCTTGAATTTCTGGATATTTCAAGAACAGTAGAACTGCCCATCTTATAGTAGTGGCAGTGGTTTCAGTTCCAGCAACGAACAAATCACCAATCACTTTTTCCAGGTTATCGAAATTAATGGACGACTCGATGTTTTCACTCTCCTTCCGCTTGATCTCTCTAATGTAAGCTGATACATAATCACCAATGTTCGACTCATCATAGTCTTTCAAATGTTCAGCTGCAGACGGTTTTGTCAGATTAGTAACAAAGAACGCCAGATTCGCCAACGTCCTCTTAAACTTGAATGGGTCTCCCGGAATATACCGAGCAAGAGGAATGAAGTTCAAGCCGGCTGTTGCTCCTGCTGACTGAAGGTTTTCATCAATTCTAGAAGTCAGCTCCTTGAAGAATTTGTCCCCGTAGACAAATCTTTTGCCAAACACTACAGATGTGATGATGTTGGAAACCGCCGTGTGTGTCAAATCTCGGAAATCAAACTTCTGTCCTTTCATCTCTGCAATAGCCTCAAGAAACGAGGCTGATTCTTCGTTAATCTTCACCTGCAGCATGTTCTTGCCCATACCAAAGTCTCTCAGCGTGGACAGCGTGAACCGCCTTTGTTCCTTCCAGACTTGCCCGGATGTTCCCAGCACGCCCATGCCGTTGCTTATCTCATCAATCACGAAAACATGAGGACGGTCTGAGAAAACATCACCGTGCTTCACAAAAGCATCTTTTAAGACCTCATAACCATTCATGACGATCACTAACCGATTACCAATGTACACACTAAAAATGTCGCCATATTGTTTGTGCCATTCTCGAAATTTCTTCTTCGGATCTTTCCCAATGGACAGCAAATGGCCGAGAAGTGGTAAGGGGAAGCCTGGTCCAGGGGGTGTCCCTGGCGGTCTCCGGAACGTCAGCCACAGCATGAGGGCACCGACACCACAAGTGAGAAGCGTTGTCGGAATGTCCGTGAACAACATACTGAGCATTGTCGCTTTGATGCTTCCACTGTTTCAGAATAGAGCTACTTGTTTCATATATGAAAAGGGTTTCAAAAACCAGTCGAGACACAGGGATATAGATTTACACACCAGTCGAGATACAGGGCTGTAGATTTACACACCAGTCGAGATACAGGGCTGTAGAATTACACACCAGTCGAGACACAGGGTTGTAGAATTACACACCAGTCGAGATACAGGGCTGTGGATTTACACACCAGTCGAGATACAGGGCTGTGGATTTACACACCAGTCGAGATGCAGGGCTGTGAATTTACACACCAGTCGAGATGCAGGGCTGTGAATTTACACACCAGTCGAGACACAGGGCTGTAGATTTACACATCAGTCGAGATTCAAGGCTGAAGATTTACACACCAGTCGAGATACAGTTTTTGCAGTGATAGCTTCACACACCAGTCGACTAAGTTTTACCTTACGTGTTTACTAGTTACTTAACGGGCACGACTGTAGGGCAAACCGGTCATTCTTTATCTTACCTCCGGCGAACATACAGGGAATGTACAGGCTGGCGAATCGGGAAGACGCATTTTTTTGATTAGATGTAAAGTCCGCGAAACTATCACAGACTGTATGTGTAAATGACGAAACGTGGACTTTGACCATGGAGCCTTTCGTGAAGGACCCTGGCCCAGATATACAGACCCAAGAGTCAGTGTTAAGCTCGGTATCAAAAACAGTCTACTCAGAAATAGTTCCAGAGATGAACTTTCACCTAAATGTAATCAACGTTTGGAGGTCACTTGTACGGGTTGTTTTTTAAATACATGATATACATACATACAGTGATATACATGCATACCAGTCAGTCATATATACTTTCAGTTAATGCTACAGCACTCACTATCAGAAGTTATACTCGAGAACTCATGCAAAAAAGGTGGGACGCCCAAGTAAGAAGAAATGAATTTCATGAATTGAAACCAACAATCGGTTATATTGGGTCGTCAGTCAAGACGTGATGAGGTAGTTTTACGACGATGAATAATTGGCCAGTCGGTTTAATCATGACTATCTGCTGAAAACAGACGGAGATGGACCTCCTATGTGTGTCTCTTGCGATGAAGTGTTCACCATCAAGCATATTCTGCTTGACTGTGTGGACTTTTCTACTGCAAGGGATTCACATTACGAAGCGACAAATCTGAAAGATCTGTTTTCCCGCTTGAGTGGGCATCTCATTGTTACCTCCCTAATGAAAGTTGACCTGTAGCATAAATTGTAAACTATGTAATGTGAATGACGAATTGCTTGCTATCAAATTTGGTGCTATTACATGGCTGGAATAATACCGAGGTGACGTAAAGCCCGCCCCTCCCCACCCACGTGTTTGATTCAAGTGTCAAATTTAGTCTTAATGGATCTAGCGGTAAATGATCTCGCTATTTACACAAAGATCATGACTATATGTCCAAGTCAGCCCCGTAGACTACTCTACATAACCTCCTGACCGTTCCTTCAACCAAAGGAATTCGTAGCTGTGTACGTATTTTTATTGACCCATGACCTTTGGCCTGGTAGCTAGGATGCACTGGTCTGTGAACACAGGTCGATAAAAGTATATTTGTGAACAACTAAAAAATCCTGTGGTTCAACAACGCCACAACAACCGAAAATGACCTGAGTATGCAGATCACGCTGCGTATCGCTACCTAAAGTGCAGCTGTTTATGTCAACAAAACACGCAGCCCAGTTTGTTAAATGAAACGATGAACCCAAGGCGTATTTTGAATGCACATGAATGTCCTTGACACGTAGTTAAATATAACCTAGTGTGTTTATATGCCCTGCCCTGCGTGAACACACTAACCCGAAGCCTCAATACGGTGTGGTGTGAATCGGGGTTAGACAGCAAATAGGGAGATTGGTCCGAGGAAAAGGAATATACGGAGGGACAGAGTAACAATGTTGGACGGATTTTTCATCGGATATACGACTCCGATCCTGGTATCAGGGGTATGCTTGCTTGCACTGTGGTACAGTACCAGACGCCCATCTGGGCTGCCTCCTGGGCCGAGGGGTGTACCAGTCTTAGGCAACCTTGTGTCAATGAAACCGGACTTCAGAGAGCAGTTCCAAGAGTGGAGGAAACAATACGGAGATTTATTCACTCTCTATCTAGGCAACCGTTTAACCATAGTGCTGAACGGATATGATACGGTTAAGGAGGCGCTGGTGAAGAATAGCGATGTCTTCGCCGTGAGGCCCTATGCAGTTGTGTTTAACGATCTTTTCCAAAATAAGGGCGTTATATCAAGCAACGGGGAGGTGTGGAAGGAACAGAGAAGACTAACACTCTCTACACTGAGAGACTTTGGAATGGGTAAAAACATACTCCAAGAGAAGATTAATGAGGAAGTGCAGGTTTGTCTGGAGGTCATTGCAGATCAGAAGGGACACAAATACGACACAGATCCCATCATCCAGACATCTGTGTCCAATATCATCTGTTCTATGGTGTTTGGGAGACGATTCCAGCATGACGACCCACTGTTTATAGAATATCTTAAAAAGACAGACGAGAACTTCAAGGCAGCTGGGAAGCTTGGTGGACTAAACTTCATCCCTTTTGCCAAGCATCTTCCTGGTGATCTGTTCCTTTATCACAGGACTGTTAAGAACATAGCGTTTTACGAGGACAGACTGATAAAACCGTCCATTGAAGAACACCTCAAGGCCTTTGATGAAAATAACATTGACGACTTCATCGCTGCATACATAAGGGAGATGAAGGTTAAGGAGAAACAAGGGGTGGAGACGTCCATTGGATTTGACAATCTGGTGAAAGTCGTCGGAGATTTGTTTATTGCTGGAACTGACACAACGTCGACTACAATTCAATGGATACTGTTGTATCTGACAATGCATCAAGACATCCAGGCGAAATGCTTCAGGGAAATCGAGGACAATATTGGAACAGAGAAACGTCCTGAGATGACTGACAAGCTGAAGCTTCCTTTTATAGAAGCAACCATTACAGAGGTTCAGAGGATCGCCAATATTTCACCAATAGCTGGATTCCACGGGGTCACGGAAGACATTGTGCTCAAAGGATATCATCTCCCAGCTGGTTGCATCATCTTCCCAAACTTAGACTCTATCATGATGGATCCTGAAATTTGGGAAAATCCTGGACAATTTCGACCGGAGAGGTTTCTTAGTGCTGAAGGTAAATTTGTGAAACCCGAGGAATTTATTCCGTTCTCGCTGGGAAAGAGGGCGTGTCCGGGAGAGTCACTTGCCCGGATGGAGCTGTTCCTATTCATCACAGGGCTCGTCCAGAGGTTTCACTTCCTGCCACCGGAAGATGAACCGCCTCTGTCTAAGGAGCCCTTACCTGGAGCAGTGCTTAAACCGCAACCCTTCAAGGTTATGTCTGTACCCAGGCAGTAGATTTGCACTGTGCTCTTTATAACAGAACAGGGATACTGTAATTGTCAACGTATTTTTAGTTAAGAGTCTTTTTGTTGTACGTAAACCCGATCACCAATGGCATTTTCGAAATCATAAATGTTCAATATGTACAAAAACATATAATGGGTGAAGTTTGTGCGGGATCCGTATTTCCAGTGTAGATTACATGTCAGTATACACAGACTCAAGATATAGTCAGCCTTTTGTATAAACTCCATTTACACTTCTAGTTACTTGTGATTTTAGCACCAGAGGATTGTATGTTGTTTTATGCCGCTCTTATCAATATCATCGTAGCGGACACCAGAAATGAGCTTCACACAATATACCCGTGTGGGGATTCGAATCTGGTTCTTCGGCATGACTAGCGAGCACCAATAGGCTACAAATCCAGCCTCAATAGTAAATATGCTGTTACTTGAAAGCCCGTAGGCTACTGAGACATATACAGATGAATGACAGGTGTTTGATATTATATGTATGCTTATAATACGGGGCGTTTTATGAGGTACAACACTGTTTATTCCGGGGTGTGGGTGGGGGTGGGGTGGGGGTGGGTGTGTGTATATTATTGGTTAAATAGCCTAACCCGATAGTCGAATCGGTTTATGCGTATGATCTTTGATCTTATGTTCACCCATTGTATGGGGTGCCTGCATAGCCTTGTAGTTAGAACGTTCACTCATCAAGTAATATTATATAATTATATTCTCATACAGTGAGTCAGAGACCATATTACATGGTCTCTGAGTGAGTAAATACGGCTGTTAACTGAATATCATTTAACTTACAACTTTTAACTTACTTACGGACAACAGTAAAATTATTAACTTAAGTCTGCTTTCTCATTCCGTAGTAATATTGGCGCACGTTATTCCTGAATCTCAATATTGCGAGTGGATTGACTATTCAGGCTTCACCGTGGCTATTCGTCCCTTCAAGTGGACATTTTCCACTCGCCGTCAGTCGATAACAGAGCATAGAGCATTGCGAGACGGTGCGCCAAGTGCAGCGAGCCTTAATCACCTAATATTGACTGCGCGCTCATGGGTCGTTCCAATTTGACGAATTAGGTGACAGGTAAAATGTGTCTCGACACGTTCGTGTGTTTGGGAGATGGTTGTTCATAACACTCTCCCTCGCAGCTGCAGATAGTTAGTATGGATCGGATAATGCAGAACATTTGTGACAATGTTACCACGACCATGGCAGTCGTCGGGTCTGTTTTAGTTGCTGTGTGGATTTACAGCAGCAGACGACACTCACAACTTCCGCCCGGACCGAGATTGCGCTTCCCTTTGTTTGGAAATATGTTTTCAGTAACGCGGGACATTAAAGAAGCATTACAGAAATGGAGGAAGGATTACGGTGATATATTCTGTATATACCTCGGACTGCGTCGTGTCGTGGTGATAAACGGTTATGACATCATAAAAGAATGCCTTGCAACACACGGGCACTTGTTCGTCAAACGACCGAACGTGTTCGTTTCTGAGTATCCCAATCATGGGCGCGGCATTCTGAACACGGCCGTGACAGTTGGGATGGAAGAAAAGCGAATAGCGGAGGTCTGTCTCCGGGATTTCACAAGAGGATCAGGAAAGGATATTTTGGAAATTCGGACTGGCGAAGAAGTCAGTCATTTACTGCGCCTTATCAACGACGAACATTGTCGAAATGTGGATTTACGATCTTTTATTAACTTTGCTGTCACTAATGTCACATGTTCGATTCTATTTGGCAAACGATTCGAAGATGATGATCCAATATTTGTTGAATATTTGAAACGACGACAAGAGAATTTTAGTTTGACGGCCATTTTAGAGTTTATGCCATACCTGCGTTACTTGCCGGGAGATATATTCAATATGAAACGGCTGACCGAAAATATTGCATTTACAGAGGATGAAATAATCAAACCTTCACTAAGACGCCTTGAGAAGGACTTTGATGACCACAATGTGACATTCGTATCGGCATATTTAAAGGAGTGCCAAAATCTGGGCTTACCTGTTAATCACGACAATCTTATTGATATTGTTACAAATTTGTTGATTGCTGGTTCGGAGCCCACAGCTGTTGCTATCCAGTGGGGTATTCTTTATTTCATAGCTTACCCAGATGTACAGGACAGATTTTATCAAGAAATCAAAGATAACGTAGGCTTACATCGTGCTCCAAACATGTCCGACGTAGAAAGCCTTCCTTACGTTCAAGCCACCATTTCCGAGGTACTGAGGTGTGTGAACGTGAATCCTTACGGTGCCAGGCGATTTGCTTCCCGTGATGTTATGTTCCGGGGATACCTTATTCCACAGGACACTCTGATATTACCTGTATTAGAATCAGCGTTGTTTGACCAAGAACATTGGGACAACCCAGACGAATTCAAACCGGAGAGATTTCTGAATGAGAAAGGACATTTCGTAAAGCACAAACAATGGATTCCTTTTTCTATTGGTCAAAGTTCCTGCTTAGGAGAACAATTGGCAACTTTGGAAATGTTCTTGTTTCTATCAGCAATGATTCAACAATTTCAGTTTAGGAAAACAGAAAAGTCCAAGCCTCCGTGTTTCAGATCAGATACAAATTTGTCGTTCACACCTTATCCGTACTGTGTCCAGCTGATTGACAGGCATCGTGCAAGTGAGCGTAGGAATGTCACTCCATCAAGTCATCTTCGTGATACAGTACAGTAAACCAAGCTTATAACGAACTCAAAGGGACCACTATTTTTAGTTCGTCATAACCATAGTTCGTTATACGCATTTTTAAAATTAAAAATTTACAGTGACACTAAGTGTTTAGGACAGAAAAACCCTAAATATTTCATTGTGTGCAAGTTCGTTGTAAGCGTTATAACGTTGTTTGCTGGACATACAATGGTGGCCCAGTTGCTAAAGTGTTCACCAAAGACGTGTTTATTGCCCCAAAATGTACAGTGTCTCAGCCGAGTCTCGTCACTGCAGACCGCCTCCGTGGTGTAGTGGTTAGAGCGTCCGCCCGGAGTGCGGAAGGTCGCGGGTTCGATCCCCGACCGCGTCATACCAAAAGACGTTAAAATATGGTACTTGTTGGTCCCTGCCTGGCGCTCGGCATTAATGGGTACAACAAGGACTGGTCGGCTCGGAGTAAGTATAATGTGTCTGAGTGGGGTATTCATGCTTCACTGCGGCATGGTATCTCAGTGGGCTAGCACTATAAAACCAGCTTCAGCCTGGGCTAGTACAAGCAGTCGCACATACACATACACACGCATGCACGTCGTCATATGAGCGAAATATTCTCAAGCACGACTTTAAACCCAATCCCACCACCTCGTCACTGCATGGGATATTTCGAACAACTTGCACAAAACCATATTCAGTCACATTTTGATCTAGACGCTGTGAGTTTTGGGTGTATTATCACCATTTCGTATATAACCTCGTACATGCCCTGTCTCAGAAGAAGCCTTTTGTTTCTAAGATGGGTTCGGGTGGATTCGGATCAGCGGCTTCTCGGACTGAGATCAGCTCTCAAAACATGACTTCTTCTCTAGGTATTTATAAGGCTGCACAGTTGTATGATGGCGTTCCGTAAATAGTCGAGTCTGGACGAGACAATCCAGTGATCGATATCACGAGCGAGTGTCTAGACCGTCAGCTAGGGTTGGATGACACACATTGACCTATATCGCCGAGTTCGACGACCGCATCCATTATGCCGCCTGTTAAGACGTACGGTTGCTGGGTAACCAGTTCTTACCCGAAGTTGCCACGAGGGTGCCAAGACTGATTTAAGGGTCAGCACACATATATAGACAGCACGAAACGAAGCTCAAACAGCCTACCACAGATTTACCTTACGAGGTTAGGTAAACGTTCAACAAACCGTAGAGATGTACCTGAATTATTTCTGTCAACGGCCTACAGGTGCCGGTCAAAACGGGCCAACCCATTTGGTCTGAACGGTCTGATTTGTTACTGCAGATTTGAATTGTTGTTTGAGAATGTGTTGGTTTGCAGCTGTGAGGTAGAATCTCAGTTCATATATATGCTTCTGTTGAGTAATTTCTTTCAAATGATAATTTATATATGGATCTAATCGTTTTATATTTTCACTCTGTTTATTTTAGTTTTCTGATGTTACCATTAACGTTGTAAAATAAAGTACATGAAACTTTCAATTGTGTCGTTTGATTAGAATATTTTGGGTACATGAGAGTCGAGTTCTGGTTGTGATCTGCATGATTGTCATCGTATCCTGATGGATCTTTCTCCACTCTTTGTCTGGTTACTCACGTGACGAACTGTGAATCAGCTAAAGTCCCCTGTAAAATCCCCAGTACTCCTGCCAGTGGACTCGCCATTTTGTGAAGGTTGGTTACCGGTAGGGATGTCATACGTCAACATTATTACACATATTTACCATTTTTCATGTTAGGGTTTACGAATGAAATCATTCTATGATGCAGAATGTTCGTATAGTTTACATAAGTGTTGCAAGTAAACCTGTAGTTTAAAGCGCGAGCAACAATGGGGGTACGATAACACACAATCAACCAGTTCGGATACTGTAGACTCTCGGTATTACCTGTTGACGTTCATTGTCGACGAATTCTTAAGAAAGTCAAACGTCTCAGTGTCGTTTCTCAGCTGAAGGATACTGTCACTATGGTTCGATGTTGTTTCACACAGACCACCACCGTGATGTGGTGGAACAATATCAGCTGCAGAGAGTGCTGAAGGCGATTCGTTTAACCCCGACTGCATCATACTCTCATACCAGGAGACGTGAAAAGATGCATTGAACAACGCAGCGCTATAATTACACCAAATAATAACTGACACCCCGCGCACACGCATGCACACACGCACACATTCACCCGATGTCATTGTCCACACTTAGGGAGCCAATGGGCTTCCTACGTATAGAAATGTTTTCAGGTCTGGTTAACAAAAGTAACACATGTTAGAGTGAGTGAGTGAGTTTGGTTTTACGCCGCTTTTAGCAATATTCCAGCAACACCACGGCGGGGGACACCAGAAATGGGCTTCACACATTGTACCCATGTGGGAACACATGTTAGAGGTGAGGTGAAATTGGATTTAACGTCGTGCTTGAGAATATTTCGCTCATATGACGACGTGCATGCGTGTGTGTGTATGTGCGGCTGCTTGTACTAGCCCAGATTTAAGCTGGTTTTATAGTGCTAGCTCACTGAGATACAACACATGTTAGAGCTTTCAATTCAAGCAACTCCACTGTTCCATAATACCATTTTTGTTTCATTGTTGTTTAACGACGCACTCCAATATTCCAACAATATGACGGTGGTATGTAAATAATAGAGACTTGATCAGACAATCAAGAGCTTCGATCTACGCATTTGGGAACCGATGACATGCATCAACCAAGTCAGCCAGCCTGACCACCCGATCCCGTTTATCGCCTGTTACGACAAGCGCGGGTTGCTGAAGAACGAACAATTCTAACCCGGATCTTCACGGGTTAATCAGTAGGTACCTCTAACTGTAGTCTCTCGTACAGACCCTGAAGCAAATATATCTAAGAAAGCCCACGCAAGTCTAGAAAATGTGTCAAGTCTAGATTTCCACAGCTTCTGAAAATGAAGAAAGTCTCAGGGCCCCTTTTCATTATATATATATATTATTTTTTTATATATTTAAAAAAAAATTGTTTTATATATTTTTTTTACTATGAACTTTTTTTTCAGTAAAATATGTTCATTTCAGAGACTAGTTGTTAGTCTACTCTAACTGTAACATGGACAAATCCCTTTGGAATAGTTTCCCTGCGGTCGGAGTACATCGTTTCTCACATTATCGATCATTATAATTTATCGTCTGGTCCAGTAGAGCCCATTCACAAGCTGCCGTTCTAGAAATTTTGCCGAATGCAACATACACAGAGACACATACACATATAAGGACATATCTGAGACAAAATCAACAACAGTCACACACGTACTCAATATATATTTGCAATGACATAATGTCAGTGATTATTGATATATACAAATCAACAACAGCAGTGGTGGTCGACAGGGAATTGTCCATTTCATTTTATGGGCATAGGGCATCCACTTGCAGAGTTTTGGGGAGTCTAAGACATGTTATTGCTCCGTATACCCAGTAAAGATTGTTTCCATTAAGATCTGAGGAAAAAAACACCCCGTTCCGTAAACCGCCGTGAGTGAGTATGTCGGTCCCTGACCAACAGAGAGTATTGTACCTGGTATAGTTTGTAATCATGTCTTCGTCCACAGTGCTTCTTTGATATAACCGCGCATGCGTATTGCCACGGCGCAACATTGTCATGCATGCCAATGTACACGCTAAAATTAGCTCCCCAGATGTAACGCCATGGGGTAACATGTTATGGTTAGACGGAACACAACTGGAAAGCATTAAAACATTACTCGAACAAACCCTTCATTTTGTCAATGGAAGGAGCACATTGTCTTGATATGTCTTAATATGTCTTGACACCTTTAAAAAGTCATTTTGAGGTTTTGATGATTCTTGTTGAGGAATATCATAGCATCAAGGTTCTTGGTTGGAATGCATGACCTCTGACCCCGGACGGGATCTCTATCGGGGAGGAAGATATGCTCAGCCGGCCTAGAGGTCGCCATGACGCACATGTACTTCTTCGCGAGGCATGAAATGTTGGGGAAGATCTTTTCCCTCTCATACCACCAGATCAGTGAGGTGCTGGATGTGATCTGCTTCTCCGCCATAAACCGGTCAATCTCAGAGCTCACCATCTCCACCGGCGACATCTTGTCCAAGGGAACGTCATCTTTGTGGCCTACGACATCTGACAGCCAGTCATTTTCAAATTTAGAAGCTGGATGCTTAAATTTCATCCTCTTCTTGACAGGTTCTTCCGAACCAGGGTTGCTGCCATGGACATCCGACCCGTTCGAGATGGAGAACGGAGGTCCCAGAATGATGTTCTGAATGTATTCGTCGTCACTATCAACCTCCTGTTTGATCTGAAAGTCCGTCAGGAAAGGTCTCAGCGCGGCATCATAGAGGAGCCGTCTTGCCTTCTCTCTCTCGACAGCCTCGACATAACGCAGTTCTTTATAACGAGGGTCTAACAGTGAACAGATGAGAAGAAGGTCCCGAATGTTGTCCGCGGAGTATGGCGAACGTATCTCCTTCCATATGGTGTTCCGACACTCTTTAATGACTGGACAGTCTGTTTCACCTCCAAGAAGCGTAATCTCAAGCTTCTTAAGAACCGGTAGTATCATTGACACCGTGACCATTTTCTGCTCACAGAGTAACATGGAGGCGTTGTTCAAAGGTCTAAGTAAGTCTACAAGTTCCTGACACAGTTTCTGGTTATTGGAATCGAACAGAAACAGACGCACATCTTCCTTCTGTAAATCGGGATTCTGGAAAGCCATTTGGATTGACGGCATTTCGTTGATGATCTGTTCAAGCATTGAAAATGTAGAATTCCACCGATCCTCGTCATCAACCTTCAAGGAATTCAAAGTAGGGAGGGATTGCTTCAGACCATCTGCAACACCGGACATAAAGAAACGCGACAGTTTTCTGGCTGACACGATCATACTCTGTATTTCGGGGTGAGCTAATCCTTTCTTTGCCGCAGTGTTGATCGTTTCGGCGAAACAAGGTAAGTGTTTCCATTTCAGCAAGCTGCCGGACCTTAGAACGGTTTCATGGCCTGACACCAGGATAGGATCACATGTTATCCGCCAGTTAGATGCCTGGGTCTTCAGAGTTTCAGATATATACCCAGCTGTTGCATCTAAAGGCAGGTCCACTGTTTGCAACACGAAGGAATTCAGTTGCCACGACCTAGTGATGTAATTAGCAGTGATCGTCAAATATCTTTCCGAGGACGACCAAATGTCTGTTGTGAGAGTAACATGCTCTTGATTCTCAAGTTTAGTCAAAACCTTAGCTCGCCCGTCCTCGTACATCTGAGGCAGGAGGAACTCCTCCAGGTGTTTCCTTGAAGGAACATCTGTCTTCGGATCTAGGGTGTGTAGAAGGTTCTGGAACGCCTGACTAGCTATCGTGGGAAATGGCAGCATGCCGTCAATTATGAACTCCATGATTGCATACGTTAGAGATGAGGCTCTGGGCGACTCCTTTCCACCCCCCGGCCCGTGCGACACCGACATGGATGGAGGAATGTGGACGATATCGTTGACGGCTTGTGGACTTAGAGTGATGACCTGGTCATTGTCAGAGAAACACATAACCTGAGCGACACCGACCTGGTCCTTCTTGAGGTGGTGGTTCACGTAGTGGGTGTGAAGATTTGTGGTGTTGCCGGTGTAGCGGACGCCGATGCGACAGTATTTACAGATGGCTCTTGTTTTGTCCAGCGTGTAACCGTCATCGCTGAGATAGAAGCCGAAGTTCCTCCACACGTCGCTCTTTGCCTTGCCAGGAAACTCGAAGATCTGCCTGTGTCCGCCCTCCATGTCTTTAGTGGTCTTTATGCTGAAAAAAGCGAGAGAGGAATATTCAATTCCGTCATAATTTCAGTGTCATAGTCCATACCTTCTGTTTTCCTCCTTCAGTCAGTGCTGAGTGTCATTATGTAATTATGCAAATATACTGTGTGAATATTGAATGCTAAAGCAGGGGTGGAAATAACCCATTGCCCGACGTCCCAGTCCAGTGTTCTTTTCTGTCGGGCGGGGAAATTTGTATATCACGCTGTACCGGTGTCCAGTTGACTTTCCAATGTTAATTATGTTGTTTATTTTAAAAAATCAACAAGAAAATCGGCCGGTATAGAGGACAAATTATCAGGGCAAGTGATTTTACATGTGCCACTGTACCGGAGTACACTAGCAATTTTATGGTTATTTCTACCCCTGTAAAGGTATCACTTTCGACAGACAATCGAGTATTCTTTCTTTGAGAGGCATTTTGAAGTTGTGAAGATTAAGGAAAACCAAATTCTATGGAAAGTCAACTTCTTTATCACAATGAATGCGACGTTTCGGTGTAGATACTAACACCGTTATCACTTGCTTGATAACTGTGTTAGTACCTTCACCGAGAATAAAGAAGTTTATACAAAACACTAACTGATTATCTACATACCAGACGCCAAATTAAGAATAAACAGAATATTTAACAGTTAATAAAACAAGGCAAATTTATCATTTATTTATTACAGCTGCTGCCATGGAAATATTAAACCAACCAATCAATACCGAATTATTTATCACATGATACTATAAATATTGATTTAATCATTAATTGTTTGGATAAGAACATGCCAAGTCATCTTTTGTAGTGTTTATTGCAAGTATGATTATTTTTTACTTCCAATAATCTATGGCATTCAATCCGAAAATCGAGGTACAGAAAATTACAAAAGAACGTCCACATTAGGACACGCCTACATCTGGTGATGTTCGGTGAAGCGATATCTGTGCATTGCAGTCAATGGTCTTTTATAACTGGTGAAGCATTTTATCCATCATATAACCGTTCCAGCCCAACAACAGACTAGCAGTCGAGCGGATGTGTAATCAGTATAGAGTTTCAAAGCTGGAAGCGATAGATTTTCTCTTGATCCTATTACCATACCATCAGAAAAAAAATCGAAACTCAGAGAACTCGGAAATATTTCCTCATTAACAGAGATGTTTTTCTACAAACTCCGAAATGAAATAAAGGATATTAATTTCAACATATATATATTTCAGTATCTGTAATTATACCGAGTCTCTGCAGGCGGAGATACGCCAACCTGTTATCTGGGTCACAGAGCAGCTCGTCAGCCGTGTATGGCTTGGTTGGAGCTGTCAGGAGTCTGGTCTACGAAACGATGAAATATAGTTTGATCTAGCGAAACACTCACCCGTACGCCACACCTCTCTCTTGACTTCTTCATAAATATACAGACTGTTTATATTTTGTCCTATCTACGTATATCTGTGGAAATTTCCATGCATTTTCATCGATAGACGACAAGAAAACGGAACCCGATAATCGCCATGAGAAATCGATCCTCCTCAGCTCGCTGGCTATACAATAACCGAGGTATTGGTCCCCAGAGCGAGTTGCCTCCCTTTAACTAGAGTAATCATTTCCAGAATTCTCACATGTGTTATTCGGGCCGAGTCACCGGGAGATATTATCAGGTTGTTTGCCTGCGTTCTTTTTCAGTTGTAACTAGGACAGGTTGGGTCGCTGTGACATTGCGCTTGGACGCTGTATCGAAATCTGGCTGTGTGCAAATGACAGGCGATATATTTTCGATTATATTTCAGTTATATTACCTAAAGTTTGTAAACAGTATTGGCACGAGGGAAGATATCAGAAATGGCGTTATCGCCTCAACACGTGCAAGAACCTGATAGTCTGCCGATAATGTCGGATAGATGTATCATGCAACTGTACCTGGTATTTGTCGAGGCTGTAATGGAGACGTCAAAGAACAAGTGTGTACATGTTTATTTAGAAGATTATGTCTCTCTCTAAGCAGAACTTCGTCCGCATGTATATCGACCGATAATATCTCTAAATATATATTTATTCTGTATAAGGGACCGTTCATAATTTATGGCTAGGGAGGTGATGATGATTTTTATGGAGAAGCATGTACAATGTGAATGACTCCCCCCTTTAAAATGTATGTACAAAATAAGTACACACACCCCTGCATGTCATGTACAAAATCAATGACCCCTCCCTACCCATAATTTCTAAGCATAATTTTAAACATATTTTTATGCACAAAATTGATGACACCCCCACCCCCAGTACGTATGTACAAAATTGATGACCCCCTAGCTCTCCAGAACAAAATGGGTGTCCCCCCCTGAAAATCATCATCACCGCCCCTAGTCATAAATTATGAACGGTCCGACCGTAACCACGTTGTCTATATTACACAGACCCATATATTACCTACATCTATCCCCTGATACTTGATAACCCTGACAACCCGTGAACCTGTATAAACGAGTTTCGTTGTATTTGAAGTTTCAATTGTACCATATCTTAAGGAGACCCCGTGGACATGTATAAACGAGTTTCGTTGTATTTGAAGTTAAAATTTTACCATATCTTAAGGAAACCCCGTGAACATGTATAAACGAGTTTCGTTGTATTTGAAGTTTCAATTTTACCATATCTTAAGGAGACCCCGTGAACCTGTATAAACAGGTTTATTTGAACGTTGTATTTGAAGTTAAATTTGAAGTTTCAATTTTACCATATCTTAAGGAGACACCGTGAACCTGTATAAACGAGTTTCGTTGTATTTGAAGTTTCTATTTTACCATATCTTAAGGAGACACCGTGAACATGTATAAACGAGGTTTCGTTGTATGCAATTTGAAGTTTCCATTTTATTGTGGTGATGGATTACTGAGTCCCTACATGCAGGATCAGCGCTCTCATGTGGAAATACAAGTGCATCGTCTCCATAATGTACAGGTTGTAGCCCATTAGTCACACGAGAAACTAACATTAACACAATCAACTTATCTGTATATAATGCACACGTAAGAGTTCAAACTGCATCTAAACTAATTGAACTTATTACATGTTATTGTATTTTCACTCCAGTGTTAAACAGCCAATGTGTTAAAATATAAAGGACTGTTTAATTGTAAACAAATAAGTGTGTGTGTGGTTTTTTAGAAAACAATTCTTTTCTGTTTTGTTGTAAGATTTATAGTTCTTGTTTCGAGTTATATTTTGGTCATTATGTTCAATAAAATAAGATTTGATTTTATTTAATTTTGAAGTCAAATGTTTTATTTTTTCGCTGAGAGGGGCGGGGTAGCTGAACCTGAAGACAGATAATGATATCATATTACTGGTCAATACACTGAACAGCTGACGCACAGACCATAAAGCTGGAATACTGCTGAGTGCGGCGTAAAACTTAACTCAACAACCCACAATTAGACCGCCATAAAGCCGGAATACTGCTGAGTGCGGCGTAAAACTCAACAAAACAACCCACAATTAGACTAACGCTTAGTCTCTGAATATATATAATTTTGATAGTAACAAACAAGCCCATTTAAATCGAAAAGGAGACCCAGGGAGACCAGAGATTCAGAACCTGAGGAAATCTAGACTTGATTTATTTAGAGCTTTAGCACTGCAGAGGGGGCTTGGCAGTAGGGAAAATAATGTGGTTCAGGGACTGTGAGACAGACTACCCGACAATCTGTGAACCATAATCCCTTTCTTTCAATCCTGTCATTGTATACATAGACTTGCACTTAGTCTATGAACATACATAAGTGGGATAGAATCAAACAACTCTATCTAAATTGAAAAGGAGCCCTACTGAGCTAGCAGATTGAGAACCTGAGAAAATCTAGACTTGCTCATTTAAAGTTTCGCATAGCAGAAAGGGTTGGGAGGAAGAGAAAATAATGTGGTTCAGAGACTGTGACACAGAATATGCTATACAAAACAAGGTGAGATTTTTGTCCAGGTTCAAACTTCCATCACTTTTGTTCCTTATCAGCTTAGTTGCTTGCCTCTAGCAAAATTATGCAGTGGCAGTGTCTGACGCAGTAGCCTACGGTGATCATACTGTATGTTGTCATAGCGACCACGGCAGCCATTGTCACATATCACATTTCATTCACGCTCTACGTCGTCCACGTTATCGTGAAATGAAGATTGAACAGGACGACAGGTTTTATTTTACACAGGAATAACTCTCTTGTTCTAATAAGGCCACATAAAAAAAATATTCTTTCTCAATACTTTTTTAAAACATGGGTCGTGCGGCCGGATTATATTTTTACATTTTAAGTTTATTTTATGTAAAAAAAATTCCTTGATTTCTGAGGAAATTTACACCTTTCTCCGATAGAAAAAAAACTTAGGAAAAATCATGTGAAAAATCATGCATATTTTGAGAGTCAAATTTTCTCTAGTGTATAAAAATCAAAAAGATCTTAGGGTTGGGTCGAACTTTTGGGTCTGGCGGTAATGAGAAACAAGAATATGTTTATATATGGCCTAATGTTGCAATGTTTCTTGCAGACGTTTGCCTATCAGTATCTTCATGAAAGATTTATTAGGACAGGAAATGTTCCCATGTCACCTCATGGATTTGAACTCTTGGGATTCATACAAGATCTAACTAAAAGGATAGGGAACTTCGATACAACAGATGACTACTAACCTAACTCTTTTACAAACTTATCTTTCAGCGTGTTTCAATTAAATAAATTGCATCGAGTGTAAATATATCCATTTATTTCAAATCGTCGTTAACCTTATTCGCACAGAGTATTCCCTTAAATAAGATTATATCAATATAACTTGTGGAATAATAATGTTGGAGAATAAAACATTTTATTCAGCTAGTTAGACCACTGACACTATATAGTATTGAGAGTTTAGTTTTACGCCGCTTTTAGCAATACTCCAGCAATATCTCATTTACACCAAAAATAGTGTACGAGTATGTATGTTTTTACGCCGCTTTTAGCAATATTCCAGCAATATCACGACGGGGAACACCAGAAATGAGCCAGAAATAGCCTTCACACATTGTACCCATGTGAGGAAGCGAACTCGGGTCTTCGGGGTGGCAAGCGAACGCTTTAAACACAAGGCTACCCCACCGCCCATGTAAGAAAAGAAGCCAGTCCACTAAATGTCTCTGTTAAGACGTGTGGCTACTTCAGTATTCGCTTGTTGTTTGTCACCGTCACGTTTGATAGCATTGTCATTATGTCATTTACTAATCAAAAGATGTTGAAGAACATCCGATTCATGAATATTACTCTACTTCATCTGTCATGATACGGTACTGTAACTAAAATAACATGAAAAGGTTCAGGTGCCATGGCATGACGGCTTAACTATAGTAATGTGACTGGCCCGCGGGGTAGCCAAGTGGTTAAAGCGTTCGCTCGTCACGCTGAAGGACCGGGTTTGATTGCCCACTTGGGTACAATTTGTGAAGCCCATTTCTTGTGATTTTGCTGGAATATTGCTAAGAGCGGCGTAAAACCATACTCATTCACTCACTAGTAATATGAAAGAATCGTGTTATCTTTAACTTGTTTTGTGTAGTATGTTGATGGCAATTTCTAGAAAACAACACAGTAGTTTGAATCGCGCCATTGTCCTCAGCGGATTGCACACGGCGCATTTTCACCAACCTGACTTGTGTTGTCATGTACATACATTGAATTACATCATCATGATTAACTAACATAAACATGTCTGCTAAGGCATTCCTTCCCCCCATACTACTGGTTTTTCACGAAGACCTAACTAAACCGGCCAAGGGGTCAAGGCCGTATCCGATTTGTCCACCATGTCCAAGACAACTTGTCTCCCGGTTTTCTGTGTTGATGCGTTCACAAAGACGGCATTCGGCGGCAACCCCGCGGCTGTGTGCCTCGTTTCAGCAACCACCACGGTGAATATATGTTTGACCTATTCTCCTGCCGTTTCAACTGTTTTCAGCAATGTGATAATTACAAAGTAGGCCAGTCCTCACTCACGTGGCGACCGTCCAGTTGACCCGTTTCAGTGTCCGTATATGGTTCAGCATTCGTAACTATTCGTGTCATTCCGTGTATGTCACGGAAAGAGGCGAGTAGTTACGAATGTATGGTTCAGCATTTGGCGTTACTCGTCTTTTTCCGGTAAACGTCAAAATTTGACGAGTGACCACGGAGTTGAATTTGACTGGCCCGCGGGTAGCCAAGTGGTTAAAGCGTTCGCTCGTCACGCTGAAGGACCGGGTTTGATTGCCCACTTGGGTACAATTTGTGAAGCCCATTTCTTGTGATTTTGCTGGAATATTGCTAAGAGCGGCGTAAAACCATACTCATTCACTCACTAGTAATATGAAAGAATCGTGTTATCTTTAACTTGTTTTGTGTAGTATGTTGATGGCAATTTCTAGAAAACAACACAGTAGTTTGAATCGCGCCATTGTCCTCAGCAGATTGCACACGGCGCATTTTCACCAACCTGACTTGTGTTGTCATGTACATACATTGAATTACATCATCATGATTAACTAACATAAACATGTCTGCTAAGGCATTCCTTCCCCCCATACTACTGGTTTTTCACGAAGACCTAACTAAACCGGCCAAGGGGTCAAGGCCGTATCCGATTTGTCCACCATGTCCAAGACAACTTGTCTCCCGGTTTTCTGTGTTGATGCGTTCACAAAGACGGCATTCGGCGGCAACCCGCGCGGCTGTGTGCCTCGTTTCAGCAACCACCACGGTGAATATATGTTTGACCTATTCTCCTGCCGTTTCAACTGTTTTCAGCAATGTGATAATTACAAAGTAGGCCAGTCCTCACTCACGTGGCGACCGTCCAGTTGACCCGTTTCAGTGTCCGTATATGGTTCAGCATTCGTAACTATTCGTGTCATTCCGTGTATGTCACGGAAAGAGGCGAGTAGTTACGAATGTATGGTTCAGCATTTGGCGTTACTCGTCTTTTCCGGTAAACGTCAAAATTTGACGAGTGACCACGGAGTTGAATTTGACTGGCCCGCGGGGTAGCCAAGTGGTTAAAGCGTTCGCTCGTCACGCTGAAGGACCGGGTTTGATTGCCCACTTGGGTACAATTTGTGAAGCCCATTTCTTGTGATTTTGCTGGAATATTGCTAAGAGCGGCGTAAAACCATACTCAGTCACTCACTAGTAATATGAAAGAATCGTGTTATCTTTAAACTTGTTTTGTGTAGTATGTTGATGGTACTTCTAGAAACAACACAGTAGTTTGAATCGCGCCATTGTCCTCAGCGGATTGCACACGGCGCATTTTCACCAACCTGACTTGTGTTGTCATGTACATACATTGAATTACATCATCATGATTAACTAACATAAACATGTCTGCTAAGGCATTCCTTCCCCCCATACTACTGGTTTTCACGAAGACCCTAACTAAACCGGCCAAGGGGTCAAGGCCGTATCCGATTTGTCCACCATGTCCAAGACAACTTGTCTCCCGGTTTTCTGTGTTGATGCGTTCACAAAGACGGCATTCGGCGGCAACCCGCGGCTGTGTGCCTCGTTTTCAGCAACCACCACGGTGAATATATGTTTGACCTATTCTCCTGCCGTTTCAGCTGTTTTCAGCAATGTGATAATTACAAAGTAGGCCAGTCCTCACTCACGTGGCGACCGTCCAGTTGACCCGTTTCCAGTGTCCGTATATGGTTCAGCATTCGTAACTATTCGTGTCATTCCGTGTATGTCACGGAAAGAGGCGAGTAGTTACGAATGTATGGTTCAACATTTGGCGTTACTCGTCTTTTTCCGGTAAACGTCAAAATTTGACGAGTGACCACGGGTTGGAATTTGACTGGCCCGCGGGGTAGCCAAGTGGTTAAAGCGTTCGCTCGTCACGCTGAAGGACCGGGTTTGATTGCCCACTTGGGTACAATTTGTGAAGCCCATTTCTTGTGATTTTGCTGGAATATTGCTAAGAGCGGCGTAAAACCATACTCATTCACTCACTAGTAATATGAAAGAATCGTGTTATCTTTAACTTGTTTTGTGTAGTATGTTGATGGCAATTTCTAGAAAACAACACAGTAGTTTGAATCGCGCCATTGTCCTCAGCGGATTGCACACGGCGCATTTTCACCAACCTGACTTGTGTTGTCATGTACATACATTGAATTACATCATCATGATTAACTAACATAAACATGTCTGCTAAGGCATTCCTTCCCCATACTACTGGTTTTCACGAAGACCTAACTAAACCGGCCAAGGGGTCAAGGCCGTATCCGATTTGTCCACCATGTCCAAGACAACTTGTCTCCCGGTTTTCTGTGTTGATGCGTTCACAAAGACGGCATTCGGCGGCAACCCCGCGGCTGTGTGCCTCGTTTCAGCAACCACCACGGTGAATATATGTTTGACCTATTCTCCTGCCGTTTCAACTGTTTTCAGCAATGTGATAATTACAAAGTAGGCCAGTCCTCACTCACGTGGCGACCGTCCAGTTGACCCGTTTCAGTGTCCGTATATGGTTCAGCATTCGTAACTATTCGTGTCATTCCGTGTATGTCACGGAAAGAGGCGAGTAGTTACGAATGTATGGTTCAGCATTTGGCGTTACTCGTCTTTTTCCGGTAAACGTCAAAATTTGACGAGTGACCACGGAGTTGAGTTGGTAGACTGTCTCACACTCCCTGAATCTCCGAGCTCACTTGAACTTCTTAAAGAAAATTTAAATGGAGTTTTTTGTTCCTATCAAACATGTATATTTGTAGAGACTAAGCGTTAGTCTAGCGCCTTGGCAGTTCAAGATATTAGATAATTTTTCCTGTCTCTTGGGCTGAAAATGCATTTCTTTTTCACCAATCACATGGTATATTTCAACCGAACTATCTCTGCTTATCAATCTGTGTTTTCATACCTTAAAGAGAACATTGCGGTATCTCTTTTGCATTTTGGTTTGCGCGATTTTTTTAGGTTTATACTTGAAGGGAGATCCATTTCTGTATAATTATCATTAATATTATACAAAAGGACCTTATAGTTAAAAGAGCTCCTTATTTTCCACCCAGCAGGAATTACATGGGGTACAAAATCTTTCAGGAGCTGCCACGTTCATATACACCCCAAGCCGCAGCTCTTTCAGTTGCAAAGTTGTGGGCACATAGATCAACTTTTGTTCACGCGGTTTCATGGGTCCTTTTATTGGCTGTTGACAGAGATAGTCCTATGTATGAAATAAAACGTAAATGCATGTTTATTATAAAAAGTGTTTATTGTGTACAACATATTAATATCAACTTTAAAAAAAAACAATACTTGAAACAGACTGCTTGAGATCATTTACAAGTTTATCTATTCAAAATATACACGTAGGCTTGTTTCTTTATTAAATATTCTTTTATTTTTATTTAAGATTTAAAACAAAGCAAATACATAAAGTCGATCTTTTATATTTAAAGGCCAGTGTTGAAATTTATGTTTTGCTACTGAAGTTTCTCAGCTTCATTCTGTTATATTTCATCGACAGCAGTTATATTTTATAGAACAGATATCTATATTTTGTTTATCTGAAGCATATGTACTTCGTATATACAACGAAAGAAATCGTTTTCTTGAAAAGTGGATTCGACAAAAACATTCAAAACGCTATCCGGAGACCTTTTCCCGGTATGTGATCTGTGCGTTATCAAGACCTTACTAGCCGTAACATTAGCTGAAACAATGCATAGTAACGGCCCATAAACATAACTATGGTACAGTATCACTGCTTTGTTTGATACCAGCCGCCATTAAACATGAATGTTGCCTGCATAAGTGATGTGATTTTAGCGCGATCCAGGTAGTGCTTATGTCGGTTAGAGTTGTCTCCCTTAGATAAGGAGATGTGTTCGTTTCTGCAAATCCTGAATCATGGATTGTATTAACATAAAACAAGGACTAGTCTTTGGGTGGGGACATTGCTGTCTTTTCTTATATGTTATCAGTATTAAATCTCTTTAGACTATCCATAACAGTTTGGTATTTCCAAATGTCTCATTTTCATATTTAAAATATCAGTTTTTGAATCATCAAAAAATGAAAAAAAGTGTTGTACACGGGTGTAGAAGAAATACTGGGCCAAAAGTAATGTTATCGTAATTACTATTTTCATGTTATTTCAAAGAATCTCACGGAAACATTGATGCAGAAGATCGCAGCTGAACTGAACTTGTCGGAGACAGCTTTTGTTTTCAGTGAAGGAAATGAAGGCAGCTTCAAAAAAGGTAATTGTAATGTTTTACATTGCCTACCTTTTTAAACTGATTTACACCGCTACTGGCGCGTGTATAATTCCAGCTACACCCAGACTACAGACTTTAGTCTGTTAACACCCGTGTCCATGTGTTTCACGGAAGGAGTCAGCGTGTATGTTGTGTATTAACCCTCCATGTTGTGTATTTACGCCGATATACAACTGATGTAGTAGGTCAAATACTGTGAGATGCGGCGAAGATCCAGTTCACTGTTCATGTGTTCAGCATAATTACGACAGTATAACGATGGTTGTACTGATGATAGTACCGCATCACAAGGGTCCTGAGTTCGAGTCAGCGGAAATAAAAAAAAAAAAAATAAAATTTCGGGTCGGCGAATTACACGTGTTCGGGCGATGAGGTACACAGAAATAAAAAAAAACCTGTTGCATTTATAAAAAAGCAGTGTTTATCAATGACCATTTCTCCTGGACACAAAGAAAACACGTGTAAAAGGTGACGATTTTAAAGGTTGTGTTGTAAATTCCAGATTGCAAGTTTGGCCTCCGTTGGTTCACACCCACGACAGAAGTGAACCTCTGTGGTCATGCGACGCTCGGGTCGGCAGCTGTCCTGTTCAACAAGATAGGTAGGGACTTAGTAGACAAGGCAGTTGGGCAGAAAAATCTATAATAATACTGAACAAGGTATTTGATGCAGTGGGGTGTCGGGGGTTAGTATCGCTGCTTGGGTAAAGATAGATTTAGTTGGTTGTGATGCTGATCCGATAGATGTAAAGTTATGGTGGTATATGTCACTGTCAGTGGGAGTGAGGTAAGATGAATGGAGAATGGTCTGGTGGATGGCTGTGGGAGACTAGGGTATGACTGACGACGGACATTGGAACTATATGTATGTGGAGGTAGTTTGTGTGTGCACGTGTGCGTGGCGTAGAGCGTATTTAAATTATTTTTAACACACAGTAACCTACGGTTATAACAATTCAAACCGTTCATCGTTATACGACTTCGACTAAAGCAACAGTTCGCTACATCCGTTATAAACATGAGATTCTGGAGAGGCATATATAAGTTGGTATTCAAGTATAAGACAAAATATTATGGATGTCAACTTCTTCTTTATTGAAACACAACGTTTCTGGGCTATTCCTTGCCCCTTCGTCAGAAGTTGACTACCATAATATTTTGTCTTATACGTTATAAACATGTTCGTCATAAACGTAGTCTCCAGGGACTTGTACTAAAATGCCTCCTTTATCAGGAAATGAGTCACAAGAAATATGTTTCAACACATTGAGCGGGATATTAACCACACGGATTATGTTTGAAACTTTCATCACGAAATAAAATCTCAAAAGAATGTTTTCTTTGTAACAAGCACGCTTATGACTATGACAACCATGTGATACTAAACTGTGAAAAATTATTAGGTCTCCGAAATAACTTTTTCTCATCTCTGATTGATATACTTGATGTTGAAACCTATGTAAATTTTGAAATGTTGGAAGACGACGAAATGCTGTCAACTCTCCAAGGTGCAGATACACAGTTCACACGATCCCTAGTGCGGGACACATACCATGTTGTCATTATAAACTTTGCAAACTATGTCTATCATTTGAAACAATATCTTGAGTTTGTATTTTAATGGAGGCACAAGTAACGCCATCCCTTTGTGAATGTTTCTGTACATATCAATTGTCAACTTTGAATAACATTGTCCTGTTTGTAAATACTATTGTATTGTATGTTTGATTGAATTCATGTATCAATAATCTTCGGATTAATTTCTGGAGGAAATAAAGAATCTCTCTCTCTCTCTAATATTTTGTCTTATACGTTATAAACATGTTCGTCATAAACGTAGTCTACTGTACTAAAATGCCTCCTTTATCAGGAAATGAGTCACAAGAAATATGTTTCAACACATTGAGCGGGATATTAACCACACGGCGTCAGGGCAAGTTAATCTCCATGGACTTCCCCTTGAACCCTTCTGGGAAACAGGTACAGTGCAGCTACTTCATTCAGCCCTCGATTATCCATTGTATGTTATCTCCGTTTGCCTGGATAACTGCGAATGGAGATACAGTTCGTCAGATCATTTACCCTCTGTTCACGTATTACTTGAAGTTGAATACATTTAACAGTGATCTGGTTCTCCTAGCACCTATGGAAATGGACATTGACTGTAATATATAGTTCAGGTTAACGTTTACCATTATGTTTTACCAATACCCAGTAGAAGAGAAAGTAATCCTCGCCACGCATATCTTGAAAAGGGTGCATGAATGGACAAACGGCAAACACGAGTTGCGCGAGTTGTCTCCCTTACACTAGTCAGGCTGGTTCACAAGTAGATGTACGACATACTAGTATCAGTGAACAGGTACACGACTGCATTATATGAACAATTGAACATTCCCTTGAAATGAATATTTTTAAAACTCGTACAAGAAAGAAATATATTACATTTTGTGCTTTTATTACAGGACAGATCTGAAATGGAAAATCTCCTCAAGGTATGTACAGAAGATGCATACAAGAGCAACTCAAACACACACGAGATCCGACTACATGTGTATGTTACAGAACGTTATAGCAAGCGCGCCGAACTTGAGAGCACACTTCTTAAGAACCCTTTGCAGCAAACGTACAGCATCATTATGATGCAATGACGGCGTTGGGTGGTCAAGTGTTTTGAATTAAAGCCGAAGTCCCGAGTTCGATTCCAAACATGGGTACAGTGTGTGCGAACGTTTCTGTTGTTCCCCGTCGCCAAATTGCTGAAATAGTGCTAAAAGCGACGTAAACGTGTATTGTGAAACCCCTTTAATTTGTGAACCCTATCTTTCTCAAGTCTTTGTGAAATTAGGCTACATGGGCACAGACTTGATTCATTACCGTCCGGATTGATGAGGTTTTATTCGACAGCGTAGTTTAATGCGTCTTCAACCCCTTGTTTTGTGTCAGGTTGTTGTAGATCCGTCACTAGTTCAAGATTTGGAATACTCCCCTACAACCAAGAAGCTGGTGGTCCGGCTCTCGGACACCGTGACACGGTAAGTCGGACCAGTTGTTACGCACGCAGTTGTTGAATCAAGTTGTATGCTTCTCTCGAGGGTAATGCGGTCTGATGCAGCATTTTTGTAACACACTACAAAAAGACGTACATTATTAGTTACGCGGTGTTTTGTTAGTTGCGCAGTGTACGGGACTGTGAGACCATTGAAAATTCCGTATTTCCTTCGGCAGTACACCCTTTCAAAACACCGTGTGATGAATTTATTACTCTTAAGGTCTTTTTATTTAGCTTATCTTTAAACAACAACATTCAATCATCGGCAGAATGAGACGCAAAACGTTTCGCCATGATTTTTCCTGAACGGCCATAAAGGGAGATAACTCTGGATTGCTTAGTTTATGGTAAAAATATCGAATTTGAGGTTTTGTTAAACGACAAGTGAAATAGAGAAACATTATATTTTTGGGATATATTTATTGACGCAAACAAATAAGAAATTATGGCAACACTTTTCTTACTCTGTTTATACTCATAATTGTATACGCCAACTCTAAAATTCGAAGCGATCAGCCGTTTGGCAGCCACATTCCATCTAAGGTCAAGGTCATTCGTACAACCCATACGGTGTGTCACATGACAGATATGACGGTGTGTACGGTTCGTACATCCTGGCAAATCCGCCTACGTGGTTTGGTATGCTTTGGTTATTGACCAAACAGAATTTGACAAATTTATCTTAAGGGTAATAATACCTGTTATACTGATTTCACGACCATTATAGCATTTGTGACGTAATGGAGACATCATTGTTGGCATAGTGTAATGACGTCACAGAAAATGTATACGTCATAATTAAATACTGTTGACGTCGCATTTACCTATTTTATATTAGCTTCTCGATAAAAGGGTATAGTTCTTCACTATAACTGATCAAAGTATTCCATAATAGTTTTACTACATTCGTTTATTACCTGTTTGGCTCAAAATATGCATGTTTATATTTGTCCATTAATCCATCTCTTGCATTGAACATAACATCGTTTTTGACGAGTCCTAGTGCAGTTTGTATATGCCATCATTGTAAATATTGACCACGTTGGTAATGGGTTTAAATGTCACCCCGTTGATATTGTCCACGAAAGTGTAATGACGTTCCAAATTATTACTACAGACGTCGTTTGGACACTGTTACATTCCGGATAAGGTGTTTGAAAGCCACGATAGAAAACGACAAAAGTTCACTTGGCTGATAATGGTGGATTATAGAGGATGAAAAATGTGTTCATAAATGAAGTTAATATTTTGGAGCTAATCCTCCTTTTTAAAATAATCATTGCAACTACATCACACCACGTGTCCCTAGGTCCGAGCTGGAGGGCCTCCAACCCCAGATACCCCGCATGGTGGAGAGTGACAGCACGGGCAAAGTGAAGGGTGTGATCATCACACTGAGGGGGTCACAATCTAATGGAGCTGTGGACGCTGAGGGGATGGGGTACGACTTTGTGTCCAGGTACTTCGCCCCATGGGTTGGAATACCGGAGGATCCAGTCACGGGTCAGTTAAGGTTTCTTTTCTTCCGAATAAAAACGAAATATTAGACGCATCGTTTCACTTCAAGGACAGATATTGTTGGTATATGTTTGTTTATGTTGAAGGCAGCATTAAGCAATATTAGGGTTAATCTGCGGTCGTCATCTTGATGTTGGAAGATAAAAATTGTGTTCGAACAATATTATACTGTAGCTGGTATTCTATATATGGCCTTATGTTGGTGGGCGATGTTTGGTGTTACAGGGTCAGCCCACACAGTCCTGGCCAGCTACTGGTCAAAGCAGCTGGATAAACAGGAGCTTTACGGTGAGTCTGTAAATTTACACCACCATTCACCCCTGACGGTAACCTTGGCTTATCCCCGAAGACGCGAGTTGTCACGAAACAGGTTTCTCTTGGTCAGTTGCTGTATCTCTGACCTCCTGCGATGCTTCTGTCCACTGACCCTATTAGTTCGAATGATATTTCATCACATACCATTTGTAAAAGGTCCGTGTAACCTAAACAAAAATATATCGATGGAACATATACATCGTGTTGGATTCCACTTTAGATATTATTTAGATTTGACTATAGTAACCTGTCAGTGATCAGGGTAGGACTTTAGTCCTTTCTTTCGTTTATCAGCATCCTACCGTCAGTGTTAGTACTAGGTTTCTATATCCCTATGGTTGTCTCTTGGGGTGGCAGAATAGCCCGATCCCGTCTGAAAGGGTGGGTTTCCAACAGAAATATAAATCCTATGCTTCCTTTTGTTATTGTTTTAATATTGTTACAGGCGTTGTACAATCACTTGACCTGTTCTCAGAATCTTACAAACTCTATCGGTTTGTATGCACACAATGAAGCGATCATTTCCCGAGAGAAAACGGATGATGGATGACACGGTCTTCCGTAGCAGCACCATATATAGAATGTATACCACTTCAAAAAGTTTAATTTGTGTGTTAAAACTTCTTTTGAATTGTGGATATTTAATATCAACCAGAGCGTTAATATTGCCCATTGCCTGATATCTTTGTTTCCAGCTCGCCAGTGTTCCTCCCGGGGTGGGGACATACACCTAAGGGTGGCGGGGGACCGGGTACACCTGGCAGGGAATGCTGCCATCATTATGACGGGGACACTGGACATATGATGCAGTTTCGATTTGCAGGGAAACGACGTAATTTGTCGTTATATTATACAGTCAGATATAACGAACAATAATTCGGTTGTATTATAGATATTTTAAATAATATACTTATGGATTGTAATGAAAAATGTCATTATTAATTGCTTGATTTAGAATATTTCCGGAGTACGTTATTGAAATTATGATAGATCTAATATTTTTGAAACACAATGCACTGGTCACATAGTTAAACGGTCTATAATGTATGCAAACCAAAGACGGGTAATAAACCTTATACTGTCAGGGAACGATTTTGAAAGAAATTGTTTTCAATTGTCAGTGTGCATGCATGTTTAATAATCAGAACGATATTGCATGTATGTTTTACTTGTGTTTAAAATAGAATATGTGTATTCAAGCTGATTGGTTCACTGTTGGAATACGTGTGTTGATGGATGAGATCATGTTGGTTGTGGGCATCTGTGTATCATCCTTTACGAGGGAAATTGGTGGACACGTGGTTCCAGCCTTTAAGACTTCTCAATGCATGTTGTTTAACATTCTATGTCATTTTACTATAATTGTTCATTGTTTGATTTCTTCTCATAATTATCTCCACCGTTGGTTGTTTTTTGTGCATGTTATTATTAAAAGGAGTGAGCCAAATCATGTTCAGTTGTTATTTATTGAAATAAGAGTGAGTGAGTTTAGTTTTACGCCGCTTTTAGCAATAGTCCAGCAATATAACGACGGGGGACACCAGAAATGGGCTTCACATATACCCATGTAGGGAATCGAACCTGTGTCTTCGGCGTGACGAGTGAACGCCTTAACCACTAAGCTTCCCCCACCACCCCTTACCCGTAAAGCCACGTAAGATCAATACACAAACGCAGGACGAATGTGTACATATAAATTGTTGTTCTGTTCGAGAGGCATTCTAGAAGTTGCAAGTAATAAGATTCACGATATAGATACTTATACCGTTTTCAAGCATGGGCATTCTGCTTGAAAACGGTAAAAAGAAAAAGTACCTATACCGAAACGTTGCATAATAAAAGAAGTTGATCATCCATAACGACTTGTCATTCCTAAATTATTGTATCTACCACAACTTATATTAAAGAGGATAGATATTGAGATTATTATTTGTCACTTGGAAATTATGATTTAATCCAATTATCGTTATCTCTGTGACGTGTGTAAGTCTTTAGTCAACACAACCCTATTTAAGTCAACACCGGTGTCTGTCAAGGGAAGGTCAAGGTTATACCAGGAGGCCCACCATGTCTGAACTCCCAATATTTTTCGTAGATGCCTTCACAAAGACTGCCTTCAGTGGAAATCCAGCGGGTGTATGCTTGGTGTCCAGCAGCAATGCGGTAAACACGTGTATATTCACCAGTCCTAGCTTATATACCATACATTATACACCCTGCTGGGCAAAAGTAGTTCATGACAACACATGACTGAATAACTCCGACCGTGGGTCGGAATACGAAACGGTGGCTCATATAAAGGTATTGGCAAGTGATGACACAGATAATTGAAAGACGAAGACCATATGTACTTAGCTTAAGGAATTTACTGCTCCAAAATAAAAAAGGTAAAAGGTCGACATACCTTATCTTCTATCAGTGATATGAATATAGTGAAAATAATAAAGGCACAATCTGTATGAAGAGACGGAAATCTTATACGGGTTTTGTACTGTGCTGTATTTCCAGAACCTCGAATGCTTTTACTTTGAACAACCTTCACCATATATATGTTCATAAAGGTGGTTCTGATATTAACAGCAACAACAGTGGTAATCGGTTTCATATAATGGAGTATATCAAATGTATATCAGACATGTTATAGTACCAGTTTCAGTATAATTCTATCATCATCATAATCATTCTGCGTAGAGTCTCACGGACGAACAAATGCAGAGGGTTGCTATGGAGATGAACATGCCGGCTACAGGGTTTATATTCAGCGACGGGGATGACGAGAGCTTCAAAACACGTAATGTTGATCGGTGGCATCGTTCTTACTTATAGTATGTTTGCAGTGAAAACGTACCGATGAATTTCACTTTAAATAAAAAAAGTAAATCGATTAAAGCGAAATTAAGATTGCGAATCCTCATAATTTTACCTTGCCAATTGAACATTCAAATCTCAGAATTTTATTCAACTTAGGATAAAAGTTGTTTAACAAACGATCATAGTTTCAAATCGCTATTATTGGTTTGTATTACAAGGGGGTATGCACATTACATGAAACACCGAGAACAAGTAGGGCTGGTCTAAGTTAACGCCCATCACGTACCGCACGTGCATTTGTTTCACTGTTCCATCTACTGCGCTTACCCCCAGGCATAAAGAAGCAAGATTTATTTTGAGCTGCTGTACTAACCTGTAACCTTCACCATCTCTCTGTTGTATTTGACAGGTTCTAGGTTTGGCTTGCGATGGTTCACCGCTGAGACAGAAGTACCCCTCTGCGGACACGCCACTCTAGGCTCTACTGCTGTCCTGTTCAAGAAGCTGGGTAGTCAGATTAAAGTATTTCATAATGGATATATCTTTAAGTATAAAAACAAATTTAAAATATACTGAAAGCATAATAACACCAATTTATAAATATTATAAGGCATTCCCCCCATTGATGTTAAACACAATATGAAAGAAAATATATTTATCATTCTGTTTTAGGTAATGCATCGAAAGAAATTTCGTTTGACATTTCGAGTGGAACGTTAAGAGTGAGCTGTCGGGATAACCTTTTCTGGATGGACTTCCCTCGGAATCCCTCTCAGAAACAGGTGATCGTACTTCAGATTTGTGAAAGGTCTCTGTCTCTGAAAAGAACATATTTTATATAAAATGAAAGTTTTGAATTAAAATTGCAAATACAATCAGGAGCCCAGGGATTTTCTTCATTTTCAGAAGCCGTGGAAATCTAGACTTGCCACATTTTCTAGACTTGCGTGGGCTTTATTGGAGGATATAATTGCTTCAGGGTCTGTACGACAGACTAATTTTCCCCCAGCAACCGCACTCGTCAAGGGATCAGAGTTACTCCCCTTTGACCAGTCTTCTACCGACGAAGCGCCGCTCGACTCTCTCCCTTTCACGAAACCACGCTAAATCTCTGCATATTATTTAATACGTTTGTTTTATTTAACAGAACAGAGCGGAGCTGGAGAACCTGCTAAAGGTGGGTCTAGAAACCTGAAGTCGAATAAAATTGATATAAACAACATTTACGAGATTTATGAGGTTTTTCGTTAACGCGTAGGTTAAATGCATTAATACACGTTTAGACTTTTAATACCATGGCGAAGAAAAACGCCCCATCCTCTCTGCAACGCTTCAACAAACATTCACAGGTGTGTTTAGATTCTGAGTGTTGGACTGTTCCAGGTGGTTGTGGACTCCTCACTCATACAAGATGTGGAATACTCCCCAACAATCAACTACCTTCTGGTCAGAATATCAGACTCATGCTCAAGGTATAACGACACATTGAAGAAACGTACCGCATTAATTACCTTATATATGGGATCGATCCTGACTACTTTCATTTAGCTTATACTCCTCTCCCTTACTAGTCGCCGTGCCCTTATTCTTTATGATACTTACGACACTGGAAGGTGAAGTTTCTTGTCAAGTTTTTAGTTATATGGGAGAAAAATTGGCTCCAGCTTATCCTTCCGTTACTATATTTTTATCTTGAGTCAAAGTAAATTATTGTTGATGTTTAATTTGAATAGACGAGCTTTGTTACTTTCAAAATACATTAAAATCTTACTAACATAATCATTCCACTTACATCATGCCACGTGTCCCCGCAGGTCAGAGCTGGAGAGCATACAGCCCCAGATACCTCTTATGGTGGAGAGTGACAACACGGGCAAAGTGAGGGTTGTCATCATCACACTGAGGGGGTCACAATCTAATGGAGCTGTGGACGCTGAGGGGAGGAGCTACGACTTTGTGTCCAGGTGTTTCTGCCCGTGGTTTGGGGTCCCGGAGGATCACGTGACAGGTCAGTTTCTACACATGTAACGATTTCGTTGGCGTTATATATATCTTACCTCGTGTAAACTCCCGGCGAAGGAAAGCAAACACTTATGTTTGACGGTGGCTAAGAATGGTTAGTAAGGCCAAACCCCCGGGCTTCATTATTCCCATGGGTGCCATGTGCGATGCCCCTTTTCTGACCTGTACTGGGTCTGGCGTTGTCATGCTCATAATGGACTCTGCAACCTTTGTAGAAATGGAAGGACAATTGGACAAAGATTGTCATCCATGAGTTGCCATTAACGATGACGAATGGTGTTTCCTGTCCCCCCACACCGAACGACCACTTGAAGTAATATTCGTTCTCTCCTTCGGCAGTAACCAAGTTGTCTCCCATCTGCTCTGAATACACACAGCCGTAAAGACGACCCTCTGCCAGTCACGTCGCTGCCCATGACGTACAGTCAGGGCCCATCTCAATCTCTGACTACAATGTTACGAAGTCAACAACTTCCCAGTGTAACGGCTGAAAGCCCCAACTATCATACACCTGGTAACTGAGTGTCGATTAACCTTAGTGAGTGAGTGACTTTAGTTTTACGCCGCTTTTAGCAATATTCCAACAATATCACGGCGGGGACGCCAGAAATGGGCTTCAAACATTATACCCAATCGAACCCGGGTCTTCGGCCTGACGCGCGAACGCTTTAACCACAAGGCTACCCTACCGCCCCTCGACTAACCATATACCCCAAGGCATTTATCGCTGATGCCGTCACTAAGTAGTGGTCTTCGTTGAGGGTGTAGTTACCGTGTGACTGCCTGTCCTTGGCCTGTCTGATATCTGCCCGGTCGGTCTGTAACGCCTCAGTTACAGCGACAGGGAGCGATCTAAAGTTCAAGCAGTGTGGACATGGTGGCTCCCTTCTGTGTCATTCCCAGGTCCCGCTCGCATTGTTTGGGTGTTAGATGTGGCATTAGTCTGTCTCACAGTCCCTGAACCACATTATTTTCCCTACTGCCAAGCCCTCTCTGCAGTGCTAAAGCCCTAAATAAAGCAAGTCTAGATTTCCTCAGGTTCAGGGTCTGTTAACATCTGCAATCTGAATCTCTGGTCTCCCTAGGGCTCCTTTTCAATATAAATGGGCTTGTTTGTTACTATCCAAATTATATATATTCAGAGACTAAGCCTTAGTCTAATGTGGCATTTGAAGGTTGTGTTTTTCAGTCCGTGTCGGCGTCTCACATGCCGACCGTATCCGTTATATACAATGATGCCCATGTAGTTTGAGCTGCCCATGCAGCACATGTTTTTTGTTTTTTCCGAATTTTCTACGAAACAATGAACATGACCGTGGGTGTGAGAGCGTATTGCTTTCTGCATAGTACATTTTTTTTGCATTGGTTTCGTTTGAATTTGAATATTAAACGTTTGGCAATTTCATGTTTAAAGTTTCTTTTGGCCGTCAGTCTAACTAACAAGGGTGATAAATTTCAGGGTCAGCCCACACAGTACTGGCCAGCTATTGGTCACAGCAGCTGGACAAAAACGAACTTTACGGTGAGATGTCGTCACGTCATTTATATAACACTTCAGACCGCCTCCGTGGTGTAGTGGTTAGAGCTTCCGCACGGAGAGCGGAATGTCGCGGGTTTGATTCCCGGACGCGTCATACTGAAAGACGTTTAAATGGTACTTGTTGGTCCCTGCCTGGCACTCGGCATTAATGGGTACAACAAGGACTGGTCGGCTCCGAGTCAGTATAATGTGTCTGAGTGGGGTATTCATGCTTCACTGCGGCATGGTATCTCAGTGGGCTAGCGAGTACAAAACAGCCACACATACACGCATGTACGTCGTCATATGAGCGAAATATTCTTAGGTACGACGTGAAACCTTTATCATAACACGTCAATAAACCCAACCGAGAAAACATGCATGTTACAAAATAGATACATCGGCAGTAACGTATATGACGTCATAGTAAATCGCCTTGTCACTGTGCATTGTGGCAGCCTTATAGATATTATCGCCTGAGAGAGAGAGTGAGCTTCGAAAATCGAGGCCCGTTCCAATAGTATTAGGAGGATAATTCCACAATTATCATGACGCCGAATTTTTTAAGAATGCTTATGGACGCCCAGATATTAAAGTTATGTAACTTCTATATACAAAATGTGTGTGAGGAATATTGACACAAAGAACCATTATTATACCTGTCTCTTCCAGCTCGCCAGTGCTCCCCCCGGGGTGGGGACATACACATGAGGGTGGCGGGGGACCGGGTACACTTGGCGGGGAACGCTGCCATCATTATGACAGGGACACTGGAAATATGATGCAACCTCGATTTGCAGGTCAACTACGGTGGACGTCGCGGTTATAATATTTACAATAATTCAGCTTTAAAAAAATGCATACATGAATAATTATGCTTATGGTAATGAAAAGATGTCATTACTAATTGTTTGATTTTGAAATAGAATATGTATATTCTAGATGGACCTGTTGGAATACGTGTGTGGATGGGCCAGATCATGTTGGTTGTGGTCATATGTATATCTTAGATCAGTGTATGAAACTCCCAAAAATTTCAGCCAGACCACAGGGCTGGTTATATGTAAAACTTGCCAGCCCTGACCAAAACTTACCTGCCCACAAAATATCTTCATATACATGTCTAAATTTTAACCCGACCGTCGAGCGGGTGAATTTGAGAATCTGGCAGTCCGTGTTGAAAATAACCCGTCCCTGGCGGTCGGGCAGGCAGGTATTACGAACGCTGTAGTATCTTCGTTTACAAGGGAAATTGGTGGACACGTGGTTCCAGCCTTTAAGACTTCTCAATGCATGTTGTTTAACATTCTATGTCATTTTACTATAATTGTTCATTGTTTGATTTCTTCTCATAATTATCTCCACCTTTGGTTGTATTTTTTCTTCTTTGTGTTGGATCTTTTTGGCGTGTTGATTATTAAAAAAGAGTGAGCCAAATGATGTTCAGTGTTATCTATTGACATTGATCAGCCTCCCAGAAATGTTATCAACTGCAACAAACTAGACCGAGTGGCACGACTAATACTTTGGTGAATAATAAGTGACGAAGCCCACATTATGATATACCCGCACAACCAAGCAAGATCAATACACAAACATACGAAGAATGTGTACATATAAATTGTTATGTCCAACTTATATTAAACCTATAAATGGAGATAACCTATTGTTTCTGTAATTTGGAAATTATGATTTAATCTAATTATCGTTATCTCTGTGACGTATGTAAGTCTTTCGTCAACACAACCCTATTTTAGTCAACACCGGTATCTCACGGGAAGGTCAAGGTTATACCAGGAGACCCACCATGTCTGAACTCCCAATATTTTTCGTAGATGCCTTCACAAAGACTGCCTTCAGTGGAAATCCGGCGGGTGTATGCTTGGTGTCCAGCAGCAATGCGGTAAACACGTGTATATTCATCAGTCCTAGCTTATATACCATACATTATACACCCTGCTGGGCAAAAGTAGTTCATGACAACACATGACTGAATAACTCCGACCGTGGATCGGAATACGAATTCTCTACAAAATTACGCTGCGAGAGGTCCACATACCTTCTCTTCTATCAGTGATATGAATATAGTGAAAATAATAAATATGCATGTTCATAAAGGCTGTAATAATACTAACAACAGCAATGGCGTACAGTGAAAATAATAGAATTTATTAAATGTATGTACAAAATTATTCTGTAAAAGGTCGACATGCCTTATCTTCTTTCGGTGATTTGAATATAGTGAACATAATAAAGGCACGGTCTAGATGAAAAGACTGACTGAGTTTGGTTTTACACCGCTTTTAGCAATATTCCAGCAACATCACGGCGGGGGACACCAGAAATGGGCTTCACACATTGTACCCATGTGGGGATTCGAACCCGGGTCTTCGGCGTGACGAGCCAACGCTTTAACCACTAGGATACCCTACCGCCCTAGGTGAAAAGACGGAAATCTGATCCGGGTTTTGATCTGATCCAGTCTTCACCATATGTATGTTCATAAAGGCGGTTCTGATATTAACAGCAACAACAGTGGTAATCGGTTTCATATAATGGAGGATATCAAATGTATGTCAGACATGTTACAGTACCAGTCTCAGCATAATTCTATCATCATCATAATCATTCTGCGTAGAGTCTCACGGACGAACAAATGCAGAGGGTTGCTATGGAGATGAACATGCCGGCTACCGGGTTTATAATCAGCGACGGGGATGACGAGAGCTTCAAAACACGTAATGTTGATCGGTGGCATCGTTCTTACTTAACAGCTTAACAACTTTTGTCAGGGTATGAAACTCCCCAAAATTTCAGCCAGACCACAGGGCTGGTAGATGTAAAACTTGCCAACCCTGACCAAAACTTACCTGCCGACAAGAAATACTAAATTACTTAGTATAATTAAATTAAAACTTGTAAAATATTCAAAACACTAATACCAATGCAAGAAAAAATTAACTGTTTATTCAGATTTGTGTTTAATGCTTGAATTCATGTTATCACTTCATCATGTTTTATTATCCTGAAATATGTTGAATATCTTCATATACATGTCTAAATTTTAACCCGACCATCGGGCAGGTGAATTTGAGAATCTGGCAGTCCGTGTTGAAAATAACCCGTCCCGGGCGGTCGGGCAGGCAGGTATTTCGAACGCTGCTTTTGTGTAGGACCGCCATATAACTGGAATATTGCTGAGTGCGCCGTAAAACTCAACTCACTCACACAATTTTGTGTAGGAATCAGCTACGGAACATGTTGCTATGATTACGAGCGAGTTGTCAATAAGGACGTTTCGAAAAGCATACATCAGGGTATTTCCTCCCTGGGAGGATCGTTCAACGCGATGAAAGTCGCAGATGTTCTTGAAACCCTTGAGCACAGCAACCGTGCACACAAATCAAAGATCACAATCAAGGTGAAACTCAGATTCGAACCCACACTTTCGTAACGCTCCACAACCCGACTTCCTTGAAATTGTAAAACCCCGAAACTTTGCCATCCTGTTAACTCACTTCGCCATTCTTCTGTACTAACCTGTAACCTTCACCATCTCTCTGTTCTGTTTGACAGGTTCTAGGTTTGGCTTGCGATGGTTCTCTCCAAAGACAGAGCTAAACCTCTGCGGACACGCCACTCTAGGCTCTACTGCTGTCCTGTTCAAGAAGCTGGGTAGTCGGATTAAAGTATTTCATCTCAGATACATCTATGAGTAGAAACACAACTTTCTTGAAAACAACTTTCTGAAAACATAACAACGCCAATAAATAAATATTAAATAATCAATAATATATAAATAATATATAAGTTATTCCCCGTTGATGTTTAACACAGCATGGCAGAAAATATATTTATCACTCTGTTTTAGGTAATACATCGAAAGAAATTTCGTTTGACATTTCGAGTGGAACGTTAAGAGTGAGCTGTCAGGATAACCTTTTCTGGATGGACTTCCCTCTGAATACCTCTCACAAACAGGTGAATTCGTACTCCAGATTTGAGACGGTCTCTCTCGTTCTTTATAAACAAGACCAAAGTGAAACGTAGATATCGGGTCGGAAGACGATGACAGACGATTTGATGATGACCTGAAGGAAGAAATGACAGACTTTTTGGCTACAGCTGATTTGCCCCGAGCTACCGCGCTGTCAAGGGATCAGAGTTACCCCCTTTGACCAGTCTTCTTACCGACCAAGGGCCGCTCGAATCTCCGTTCACACACCTACGCCAGATCTCTGAACATACACAATTTTGATCAAGCAAGTCAGCGAGCCTGACTATCCGATAACGTTAAAGGAGATATATTGAATCACAACTTTAAAACAATTTTCAACTTGTTTTTAGACCAAATCGGTATATGGTCTCTGTTATATCTAATTGTTTCATCGGCATTCCAGAAGTTGGTGAGTGAAAAATGAAACATACAGCTAGTGTTACGACGTAAATTGTAATAAAAACGTAAATTGTAATTTATTTACTTGCGGTAAAATGTAATAAAGGTTATAGGGGTTATTACTGGCTAAAACATACGCGATTCAAGCCCATGCATGACACTCAACTGACTGACTGAGTTTAGTTTTACGCCGCTTTTAGCAATATTCCAACAATATCACGGCGGGGGACACCAGAAATGGGCTTCACACATTGTGCCCATGTGGGGAATCGAACCCGGGTCTTCGGCGTGACGAGCCAACGTTTTAACCACTAGGCTACCCCACCGCCCCCATGACACTCAAGAAAACAACTGATCAACCGACAGGAAAGGGGATAAATTCGATAAGTTAACAAATCTGTTTAATACGTTTGTTTTCTTTAACAGGACAGAGAGGAGGTGGAGAACCTGCTTACGGTAAGTATAGAAACCTGAAGGCGAATAAAATCGAGATAAGCAACATTAACGAGATATATAGTTTTTTGTGGTGAACGCGTAGGTAAATGCATTTTCATGTTTTGACTTTGATATTTGCAAATTCGATTACCATGGTCAAGTGGAACGCATCATCCTAGGAATCCCCTGTGTAAAGGTTCAAGAAACGCTCCGTGATTCACAGTCATGTGTTTAGATTCTGAGTGTTGGACTGTTCCAGGCGGTTGTGGACACATCACTCATACAAGATGTGGAATACTGCCCCTCCATCAACAGGCTTCTGGTCAGATTATCAGACTCATGCACAAGGTAAGGAAACGTTAAACAAAAGTACCGTATTACCTTATATATGGGATCGACCCTTACTATTTTCATTTTGCTTATAGTCCTCTCCGGTAGTAGTCACCGCCCCCTTATTTCTTTTATGACATTTACGAAGTTGTAGTTTCTTTACGTAAACTTTACAGTTAAAGGAGGAATTGACACCAGTAGATTCGTACCTTCCGTTGCTGTATTTGTTATCTTGATTGTAGATTAAATTAATTTGATGTTTCATTAGCAAAGATGAGCTTTATTACTTTGAAATTAACTTAAATATTTGCTGACATAATATTTCCCCACCACGTGTCCCCGCAGGTCCGAGATGGAGAGCATCCAGCCCCAGATACCCCGTATGGTGGAGAGTGAGAGCACGGGCAAAGTGAGGGGTGTCATCATCACACTGAGGGGGTCACAGTCTAACGGAGCTGTGGACGCTGAGGGGAGGGGTTACGACTTTGTGTCCAGGTACTTCGCCCCATGGGTTGGAATACCGGAGGATCACGTGACAGGTACGAATCTGCGCATGTAACCATTTAACTGGCATTATATATATCTTACCTTATGTAGACTCGCGGCAATGGACAGCAAACACTCATGTTGATGGTGGATATGAATGGTAACGCCAAACCCCGGGCTCGAATGTCCCTATGGGTACGAAGAGTGCAGCCCCTTTCTGGTGTCCCTGACGTCATATAGCAGAATATGACCAGAGTACCATTCTCACCCACAACTGGCAATACAACACAGAAGCATATGGTCTGTGCTGAGAAAAGTTTCATTTTAAAAAAAAGATATGGTAATATGACACCTTATTCACCCGAAGGAAATTTGGTTATATCAGCACGAGGGTGCCGTTGTACAAAGCGATCTTATCGCTAATGTGGCCGTAACACCCATACCTGAACATAGACTTAAGGTAGTCTTATCGCTAATGTGGCCGTAACACCCATACCTGAACATAGACTTAAGGTAGTCTTAGCGCTAAGGTGACCGTAACACCCATACCTGAACATAGACTTAAGGTAGTCTTAGCGCTAAGGTGACCGTAACTCCCATACCTGAACATAGACTTAAGGTAGTCTTAGCGCTAAGGCGACCGTAACTCCCATACCTGAACATAGACTTAAGGTAGTCTTAGCGCTAAGGTGACCGTAACTCCCATACCTGAACATAGACTTAAGGTAGTCTTATCGCTAATGTGGCCGTAACACCCATACCTGAACATAGACTTAAGGTAGTCTTATCGCTAAGGTGACCGTAACACCCATACCTGAACATAGACTTAAGGTAGTCTTAGCGCTAAGGTGACCGTAACTCCCATACCTGAACATAGACTTAAGGTAGTCTTAGCGCTAAGGTGACCGTAACTCCCATACCTGAACATAGACTTAAGGTAGTCTTAGCGCTAAGGTGACCGTAACTCCCATACCTGAACATAGACTTAAGGTGGTCTTAGCGCTAAGGTGACTGTAACTCCCATACCTGAACATAGACTTAAGGTAGTCTTAGCGCTAAGGTGACCGTAACTCCCATACCTGAACATAGACTTAAGGTAGTCTTAGCGCTAAGGTGACCGTAACACCCATACCTGAACATAGACTTAAGGTAGTCTTAGCGCTAAGGTGACCGTAACTCCCATACCTGAACATAGACTTAAGGTGGTCTTAGCGCTAAGGTGACTGTAACTCCCATACCTGAACATAGACTTAAGGTGGTCTTAGCGCTAAGGTAACTGTAACTCCCATACCTGAACATGTACTTAAGGTAATCTTAGCGCTAATGTGGCCGTAACACCCATACCTGAACATAGACTTAAGGTAGTCTTAGCGCTAATGTGACCGTAACTCCCATACCTGAACATGGACTTAAGGTAGTCTTAGCGCTAAGGTGACCGTAACTCCCATACCTGAACATAGACTTAAGGTAGTCTTATCGCTAATGTGGCCGTAACACCCATACCTGAACATAGACGTAAGGTGGTCTTAGCGCTAAGGTGACTGTAACTCCCATACCTGAACATAGACTTAAGGTGGTCTTAGCGCTAAGGTGACTGTAACTCCCATACCTGAACATGGACTTTAGGTAGTCTTATCGCTAATGTGGCCGTAACACCCATACCTGAACATAGACTTAAGGTAGTCTTAGCGCTAATGTGACCGTAACTCCCATACCTGAACATGGACTTAAGGTAGTCTTAGCTCTAAGGTGACTGTAACTCCCATACCTGAACATAGACTTAAGGTAGTCTTAGCTCTAAGGTGACTGTAACTCCCATACCTGAACATAGACTTAAGGTAGTCTTAGCGCTAAGGTTGTTTTGTACAACAGCACCCAGGTGTCAGCTTTTTGTTAAACACATAGGTATAAAATAGCATCCCAAAATGTTTAAATGTGGCACAAGAAAATAAACCTGTTACTCGCTGGTATGGATGGTTTCTGGGCCCTGTTTGTTCTCAACACCGGCATATGTAAATTGTAAAACATTGATGTTTATATATGTACTTCCTTTGCTGTACTGGGTCAAGCGTTGTCATGCTGATAAAATCCACGCTACAACATTTGTAGGAATGGAAGGACAATTGGACAAATATTGTCATCCATGTGTTGTCGCATTTCCATTAACGATAACAAGTGGTGTTTTCTATTGCCCACCTTATGGCATGATTACTTGAACGCAATATGCCGCCATTCGTTCTCTCCTTCGGCGGTCACCATGTTGTGTCTCATCTGCTCTGAATACACACAACCGTAAAGACGACCCTCTGCCAGTCACGTCGCTGCCAGCGACGTACAGTCCGGGCCCATCTCAAACTCTGACGACGATGTTGAGCAGTCAATAACTGTCCAGTGTAAGGACAGCAAGCGTCAGTTATCGGTTCCCAATTGCGCAGATTGATGCTCATGCTGTTGACCACTAGATTGTCTGGTCCAGACTCAATTATATACAGACCGCCGCCATATAGCTGGGAAATTGCTGAGTGCGGCGGAAAACTGAACTCACGTTGTTCGGGTGTCAGACGTGGCATTTAAAATTTATGTATTTAAGTCAGTGGGGGTCTCACATGCCGACCGTAGCATGTATATATACCCTGATTGCACGTGTAGTTTCGGCTGGCAATGCAGCACGTTTCATTTCTTCATTTTTTCTACAAAAAGATATTGCTGTGGACGTTTCTCGCTTTCTGCATGCAGGAGCATTGTTGTGCATTGATTTGGTATAGACGTTTGTTTTTAAATTTCAGCAGTTTCATTTTAAAATTTTCTTTTGAGAGTTTATTTTACTAACAAAGGTGATTATTTTCAGGGTCAGCCCACACAGTACTGGCCAGCTATTGGTCACGGCAGTTGGACAAAAACGAGTTTTATGGTGAGACATCGTCACGTCATTTATTACATATGAATAAACCGAGAAAACACAATTCCTTCGTTTTTTCTTGCATATTACAAAACAAGATGTATAGACAGTAAAAACTGTTGTATATGACGTCATAGTAAATCACCTTGTTACTGTGGATAGTGACAAACACCTACCTTACTAATATCATCGCTGATACCACACAACATTCCCACATTAAGGGGCATCGTATTTAATAGACCAGTCCCTGTGTGTTGTTCATCTGCATAATGTATGCCCCACCCCTAGTCCAGCATATAACCAGACGACTTTGCACTTTACCAAAGTGTGCTCGACGTCTAGCCGGCGAATCCAAGTTCTTTGTCGCATAGTTCATATGAATAAACTCGTATTCCAGCCAAGGCCTACATCGATGTAAGCCTTGGCTGGAATCAGTTCTATTCATATGAATATAGCCCCAACCCACCACCGTCCAAATAGTTGACACCTCCCACCCCCCACCTTTTCATTCTCCCTTCCCCAATAATAAATGACCAATCTCTATTTAGGGAGATTTGGATGATATGACAAGTATCGTGACGCCAAAAGAATGCTTATTAACGCCAGATATTAAAGTTATCTAACTTCTATATACAAAATATGTGGGAGGAATACTGACACAAAGAACCATTATTATACCTGTCTCTTCCAGCTCACCAGTGCTCCCCCCGGGGTGGGGACATACACATGAGGGTGGCGGGGGACCGGGTACACCTGGCCGGGAACGCTGCCATCATTATGACGGGGACACTGAAAATATGATGCAGCCTCGATCTGCAGGGAAACGACGTGGACGTTACATGTCACGGATATAATATACAGTCAGATATATCGAACAGTAATTCCGTTTTGTGTTATATATTTTAATTAAATATACTCATGACTGGTAATGAAAAAATTGTCATTAGTAATTTTTTGCTTATATTATTTTTAGAGAATGTTGTGTCATGTAACTGAAATTATGATCGATCTAAATACACTACACCCTCCTACCTTTATGAATTACTTAAAAACTATCAAAGATATGTTAGAAGGTATTAGTTTACAAGAAAGCTTCACAACACTGCTGTATGCAGATCACGAAAATAAATGTCTCAAATGCATTCATATTTAGATGAAATGCATCGTTTTCAGAAGAGTTAAATTGTCCTATTTTCGCCCATGCCGAAATAGACCAATAACAGTGATTTAAACGTCCAAAAGAAAGGTTGAAATAAAATTCTGCTTTGGGACAAAGATAAACCATTTAAGTCACCATTTTCCAACTATTAAAACAAGAAACAACTGTTGCAGAGTGTGTAAAATTGTAAAATAAGCATTCCTATGATTTTAGTCTTTTAAAACATTTTCTGCTGATTTGCATTAGTGAAAACAAGTAAAACGTGTCTTTGATATTGTGAAAAAATGTTTAGGAACTTCGACAATGATCTTTGTTAACATTTTTGCTTGCAAAGTAACATTTTTCCATTTTCTGTTTACACATAGCAATATCAATCGCCAAAACGCAGCAATATTCAAGCAGTATTTGCATCCATTTCACATGTAGAATGATTCTATAGGGTATGAAGAGAGCCTAGAAAAGATGATATGATACACAAGTACGAGAAATATGCCACGACTAACAGCTGAAGAGAGAGAAAGAGCCATTGGGATGGTGCAGATGGGGTCGACAGACAATGCTGTTGCCAACAACCTCGGATGCCATCGTATCACGGTTATAAGACTTAATCAGGGCTTCAGACAGACTGGGGTCGCTGTTGACAGACCAAGAAGTGGACGTCCACGCATCACAACGCCAGTTGAAGATAGGTACCCCCGTCATTAAGGAAGGAGGGTAACGTTTCTTTTTGGCGTTTAGTGTACTTTATTAATACTGAATGCACACACAGATTATGTAAGAAACCGTAAAGTACAGTTAACATCTGAATATTGTATGTTTGTAACAGTAATTATGACGTTATTCTGAATGGTGACGTAATTACACTGTTAGGTCGTGTTGACATTTGTTTCATTACTCACCCGTGGAAGATAGCACTGTTTAATAATTTTACAATGTTATTACACATTGTGTAATAACATCACGTGGTGCCGTACGTATGACGTAAAATAAGTTTACGGTTATGACGTCACAATGCTAATACCTCTGTCACAATAGTATTAGGCCTTTCTTGACTTGCCGAAAGATGAGAGTCATCACACTCGTTGAATTCTTAGGAAAGAAGTACTTTGCTCGATATTGTTTTGCTAATGTTGGGTGAGTAATAAATAAAATACTAAACTATGTCCCGTGTAATACCATATTTATGAAACGAGTGAATGGTTTGGTATCTAACGAGCGAAAGTTAGATACCACTCGCCCGTGTAAGATACTGCAGTGTAATATTTTTACGGCAGTATTACACTAGTGTAATACCGCTAAATGTATGACGTCATAATGGTTACAGTTATGTCGTCACAATGCTAATATCTCTGTCACAATGTTATTAGACCTTACTTGACTCGCGGAAAGATGACTCGAGTCATCACTCTCTAGACAGTTTCTATCAATCTATGTTGGAGAGTAATAAACAGAAAACTAAACTCGCTTCCGTGAAATACCATTTTTATTAAACTCGTGAATGATTTAGTATCAAACTCGCTTTCGCTCGTTTGATACCAAATCATTAACTCGTTTAATCAAAATGGTATTACACTGAAGGTCGTTTGGTATCCTCTATCTATAACTTGACCGTGGAAGATACTGCAGTGTAATATTTTTACAGCAATATTACACTAGTGTAATACCGCTAGACGTATGACATCATAATGTTTTAGTTATGACGTCACAATGCTAATACCTGTCACAATGATATTATATCTTGCTTGACTCGCGGAAAGCTGAGAGTCCACTTTAGGCTGTTTCTATCAATTTATGTTGGAGAGTAATAAACAATACTAAACTCGCTTCCTTGTAATACCATTTTTATTAAACTCGTGAAAGATTTAGCATCAAACTCGTTTAGTATCCTCTATATACACCCGTCGCTATACCTTATGCACGTGGTTTTGAAAATGTGGTGTTAACTGAGGACAGGATCATTTCCATTATAGGGAGAGTTATGTTGTAGTTGGGGGTTCTTTGGTGTTATGTCTATTGTTTCTGTTTTGCTGGACTAAATGTCAGACATAATTATTTAGACTTTTAATTTATTTCATCAATGGGGAATGAGAACGGTCTCATCTCCAATTAGTTTGGATAATCTTCGGAAAAAATACGCTTAAAAATTTCATGATTAAACATTTTATTTTATTAAAATAATTATGTGCTAAATTTTCTTTCTTACTTTTCTAACATCTCAAAACTAGTAAAAGTGATTTTAAAAAAAAGAAAAAGAAAAGATGGTCAGCCGCCAGAGTCCTGCACTCTGTGCCGGAACCCGGGATTGAACCGGGGGCCTTTAGATCTTCAGTCTAACGCTCTCCCAACTGAGCTATTCCGGCCGACAAGAGCAGTTGCTGCAACCACCGGCTATAAATGCACCAAATCAAGGTCGACGTTATTTCATGCAACGGATCGATCTCTCGTGTCACTAAATAACACCACAGCAATAACATTGAAATATTTTACACAATGATTGTAGCCCAAACATTAAAATAGGTCACCACGTCCTGTGGTAAGTGACTGTCGCAATGGAAAGAGATCAGTGGGATTTTATTATCATAAATTATGCGATACTATAATTAGGTGTGTGCACGGGGCGAGATAGTACATGTCATTATGTGTGGCTGTTGGACGTAGCGTTGGTGTGGTGTGAGAGGAATTTCATTCATTCAGTTTCGCTCACAGTCCTGATTGTCCACGGCTATAAATGAAACATGCAAGGCATTAAATTTTAAAACAGTACTGACCGGCGAAGTTATTTTCATAATTTTCAGGTGATATATACAATCAAATTCTAATCTGGTTATTGATATCTAACAAGCTCTTTCAACTGAAGACTGAATGATTTATTTCATACACTAGGAAATATGTAGTAAAACCGTGACTGAGACCAGCTTTGTCAGCAGCAGTATATTAGTATAATAACCATTATATACTCATGCCATTAATTGTTGTCACCCCCTCCCCCACCACCACCCCACCTTCCCCCCCTCCCAATTAAAAATTGAAGAGGGTGACAACCATTATTGGCATGAGTATATAATGTTGTCCCTGTGTTTAATCAATATATGATATCGATGAATTAATATATTAATTTAGATAAAATTGAAATAATTATGGAAAATTATTCAAATTTATTTTAATTCAATATAAAGCTTCTTTGAGCGGCATATTTAGAAGTTGGTGAAACAGATAAAGACAAACTTTATGGATGAACAACATATTTATTTGGGTGATGCAATATATATATGAAATATCAACATCTTGTCAAATCAGTGAATATGAACGAAATAAAAAGCGAGAGGTCATGTACTGTCGCCGGACAAGGCGAACCAGTAATACGACAGTTTGGGAATATATTCACTTCTCAGCGTAGGGTTCAGTTGTCACTAGACTGTCTCACAGTCTCTTTGAGGTAGCCTGGTGGTTAAAGCGTTCGTTCGCTCGTCACGTCCATGACCTGGGCTCCCCACATGGGTGCAGTGTGTGACTCCAATTTCTGGCGCCCCTCTCCGTGCTGGAACATTGCTAAAAGCGGCGTAAAACTAAACTCACACCAATTATCTGAATCTGCGAGCCCCGCTCTTAATGTCAAGAGAAGTGATATATTCCTGGTTGGGTCCCGATGCTAATTACATATTGGCTGCTGTTATTAACACTAGATAGGCTAGAGAGGTGGGCAGCTGAGCAGTCGATATCCATTGTTGGGCAGATGTTCGCTTCAATCTGTTGTTTAATGAGTTGTATCACGACTGACTTATCTACCCAGTCAAACCATATACTGACGTCCTCCGGCTTGTAATGAGAATACCCGCAACTAACATTTCACCTGTTGCTGTTAACCCCCAGACGAACTTCTTGTACTTCCATGGACTTCAGAACATGCGCATCTGTCGATATCAATCTGAACGTTGAACATGCAAGCAGAGTGAAGGCACACCTTCGGCACACCTGTTAGCAGTATTCCAGCAATATCACGGCGGGGGACACCAGGAATAGGCTTCACACATTGCACCCTTGTGGAGAATCGAACCGGGTCTTCGGCGTGACGAGCGGGGGCTTTAACCACTAGGCTACCCCACCTCCCCATCATGCACGTGTTTCATCGATGAATGCAAAACACTGTCACTGTAGCCCATATAGTGTGTATACTTTCAAGTTTCACATCCCTTGAAATAGTTAACCACAAATGTTTCGGTGTCCCAGCTTCAAATGATTGGTGAGGTGCCTAAAGATGGCTGTTTGATGCAGAATATTTCTTCATTTTTCATTTTTCGCAATGAAATATTTCTATAATCCTCAACATGAGCAGAATTTTTTGTGTGCTTTGTTTTGAAAATCATGGTGATGTATTTATAGCAGTTTCGGAAACAAATATTAAACTTTTTTTAAAATGGACGCCTCCCTCGCCCAGATTATCAAACGGTACCAATCAAACAGTCGCGCCTTAAGAGTGAGTGAGTTTGCTTTTACGCCGCTTTTAGCAATACTCCAAAAATATCACGACCGGGGACACCAGAAATGTCTAAGGTTCCTGTTGCTTTCCCCGTTAACTAACACTCAGCGATGTGGTATAATGGCATGGGGTATTTCAATCACCAGGATTCTGCGGACTCTTTTGAAATACACACACACACGCACGCACGCACACACACACACACACTCGTATTATCTTTTCCAAGTATATTGGTAGGCCTTTTGGACAAATGTTGTTTTTTCTTGATCTGAAAACAACTGAGAATGTGATTGACACATGAATGTGTGTGTCTTTGTGTGTGCGCGTACGTGTGGATGTTTGGGTGGGTGGAAGTTTGTATTGGTGGATGGATGTACAATATGCTGTTGCGGTGTGTCAAAATTATAATGCTGGTCAACTGTCCCATGAGGACGCCTCGTGCAACAATTTCTATTCCATTGTATTCTGTTCTATGAAACGGCATCGATGACTCGTCTGCGGCAATGACCCATAAATATAAAATCGCCGAGTCGCTCATTTAGAATTCTCAAGAGATGGCGAAAGTGACCATCTATCTTGTCTAATCGATACTGGACAATCGGCAGTT